TCAGAAATATAGGTTACTTGCCACCAGTGTGACGCGAGCATGGGAGTTGCTGCTGTATTTTGTCAGATTTAAAAAAAAATATTTAGCATAATTATGTTAAGGGGGATTTTTGAGAGTTAGTTGTTTATTTGAATTTGCTGTATTTTAAGAATATAAATTATCTATAAAAAATATTACTTTTATCTATGAAGGTAAGTGTCACCGCTGATAATCATAAATGTGTTTTTATGTATGATATCAATTAATATTGAAACAAAATCCTAAAATATATCCTACAATTTTATCATTTAGTGAAACAGTAAAACAGATTTGTCATAAGACCTATGTTTACATAAATATATCCATTTTCTAAGTTTATTTATTTTTATTTCCTGCGACAAGCTAGGGTTGAGCTCGATTCCTTAATTCCCAGACAAAATAATTTTGTCGAAATAAAATATGAACTACGGCATTTTCTGTATTGTTTTTCTCATTAAGTCGTGTTATAAATGGTTTAAAGATGCTAAAATGCGAATACCAAATTATGCAGGTTGACATCCGTGTAGTAATTATAGTTTAATCCAGACGAAATTTCCGAAAAAAAGTTTCAATTTTAAAGTTGAGAATATCAATTTATATTATAACATTCTTTGGTCATGTTTTGTCTTATAGTAACTTTTTTAGTAACTTGTATTTGTCCCATGTTATGCACAATTGATTTAAAAGTTTGAGTCAGATGTTTTAAGAAGATTATTCTTAACGCCATAATAAGTTATTGATGTCACTTTTGCTCAATATTGATTGAAGTTTAAACGTTAACATTGGTGTTTATTAGAGCCTTTATTAGATCACAATAAAAGCAGCCGTGAGAATTGTAGTCTTATTCTAAATTGTATAACATTTTGGGACAAGTTTATTGAAAATATATTAACCTCCTATGCACACAACTAGTTTATCAGGGTATTGCACGCTAGTGATTGTTTAGGATTTGCAAAACACTTGTATGATAAAATAAGCATATCACTTTTTAAGATCTCATACTATGGTTTTGGGTTATGTACAGCACATATTATTGTTAAAAAAATGATGTTCTTTTTTCTTTATTATATCACAACGGACTATGATATTAGATACTACAATATAGAATTATGTGCGAGTTTATAACAAGCGGAGATAACATTGCCATAGATTATTCTCTATTGAAACAAAATACGGACAACAAACGCACACGAAAAACACCAGTGTTGAAATAGTTGACATGTTCATTCAAGGTCGGATAATGCTGTTTTATTTTCACATGAACCACATCAAACCCTTACGTATTTTTGTGACGATATACAGAAGATCATGCCTATGTACTGGTTCATAATATAAATATATATTTCAAATATACATTAAACAATACTCGTTTCTTTTTAATTTGTTTTACTAGACAAAGTTAATAATTGTCATAGATGACGGAAAGTGTATATTAAATAAAATTATCAATTTTATCATAATCACTGTCTTACATTTTACAATGTAATTGGAAAAAACTTCTCAATGTGTCTTTGTTTGTTTTTGTTGTGTTTATAAAGTTACAATGTCATCTTTGATTAAGGTAAACTGTCAAAGTACGACCAAACATAATAGATTCAAATTAAATTAATAAGATAACTACTGTTACACTTCATGAATTAGTTACAATGATAATTGTGTATATGTATAACTTCTGTTACACTTCATAAATTAGTTGAAATGATAATTGTGTATATGTATAACTACTGTTACACTTCATAAATTAGTTACAATGATAATTGTGTATATGTATAACTTCTGTTACACTTCATAAATTAGTTACAATGATAATTGTGTATATGTATAACTACTGTTACACTTCATAAATTAGTTACAATGATAATTGTTTATATGTATAACTTCTGTTACACTTCATAAATTTGTTAAAATGATAATTGTGTATATGTATAACTACTGTTACTCTTCATAAATTTGTTAAAATGATAATTGTGTATATGTATAATTACTGTTACACTTCATAAATTTGTTAAAATGATAATTGTGTATATGTATAACTACTGTTACACTTCATAAATTAGTTAAATTCGAGTGTCAGATACGTACAGTGTCAAATTTTACGCACGATCTCTACCAGCGTTTGGATGTACATAACTCATTAAGTAAAAAGGTTAAATGATTGATATATTTTTTAAAGATTTATACTTAATATGAGTTGTGAAAAGTGGTATTATAACTAAATTGTGTTTCCATATAAGAGGTATTTTGAAATTAACAAAAAAAACCCAGCAATTTCCATGTCCGTGAAGTACGCGGGCTAACGGGCTGACAGTCTGGCGGGCTAACAGTGTGAACTGGGCGGGCTAGCAGTCTAGCGGGCTAACAGTGTGAACTGGGCGGGCTAGCAGTCTAGCGGGCTAACAGTGTGAACTGGGCGGGCTAGCAGTCTAGCGGGCTAACAGTGTGAACTGGGCGGGCTAGCAGTCTAGCGGGATAACAGTGTGAACTGGGCGGGCTAGCAGTCTAGCGGGATAACAGTGTGAACTGGGCGGGCTAGCAGTCTAGCGGGCTAACAGTGTGAACTGGGCGGGCTAGCAGTCTAGCGGTATAGCAGTGTGAACTGGGCGGGCTGGCGGGCCAGCGGGCTAAAATCTAAAACTTTATTGATTCAACATAAAAATGTTATGATACATTACCTGGCAGTGTGAAGTGGGCGGGCTAACAGTGTAGCGGGCTAGCAGTGTGAACTGGGCGGGCTGGCGGGCCAGCGGGCTAAAATCTAAAACTTTATTGATTGAACATTAAAAACTCATGATACATTTCCTAGCAGTGTGAATTGGACGGGCTGACAGTGTAGCGGGCTAGCAGTGTGAACTGGGCGGGCTGGCGGGCCAGCGGGCTAAAATCTAAAACTTTATTGATTCAACATAAAAATGTTATGATACATTACCTGGCAGTGTGAAGTGGGCGGGCTAACAGTGTAGCGGGCTAGCAGTGTGAACTGGGCGGGCTGGCGGGCCAGCGGGCTAAAATCTAAAACTTTATTGATTCAACATAAAAATGTTATGATACATTACCTGGCAGTGTGAACTGGGCGGGCTAACAGTGTAGCGGGCTAGCAGTGTGAACTGGGCGGGCTGGCGGGCCAGCGGGCTAAAATCTAAAACTTTATTGATTCAACATAAAAATGTTATGATACATTACCTGGCAGTGTGAAGTGGGCGGGCTAACAGTGTAGCGGGCTAGCAGTGTGAACTGGGCGGGCTGGCGGGCCAGCGGGCTAAAATCTAAAACTTTATTGATTCAACATAAAAATGTTATGATACATTACCTGGCAGTGTGAAGTGGGCGGGCTAACAGTGTAGCGGGCTAGCAGTGTGAACTGGGCGGGCTGGCGGGCCAGCGGGCTAAAATCTAAAACTTTATTGATTCAACATAAAAATGTTATGATACATTACCTGGCAGTGTGAAGTGGGCGGGCTAACAGTGTAGCGGGATAGCAGTGTGAACTGGGCGGGCTGGCGGGCCAGCGGGCTAAAATCTAAAACTTTATTGATTCAACATAAAAATGTTATGATACATTACCTGGCAGTGTGAAGTGGGCGGGCTAACAGTGTAGCGGGCTAGCAGTGTGAACTGGGCGGGCTGGCGGGCCAGCGGGCTAAAATCTAAAACTTTATTGATTGAACATTAAAACCTCATGATACATTTCCTAGCAGTGTGAATTGGACGGGCTGACAGTGTAGCGGGCTAGCAGTGTGAACTGGGCGGGCTGGCGGGCCAGCGGGCTAAAATCTAAAACTTTATTGATTCAACATAAAAATGTTATGATACATTACCTGGCAGTGTGAAGTGGGCGGGCTAACAGTGTAGCGGGCTAGCAGTGTGAACTGGGCGGGCTGGCGGGCCAGCGGGCTAAAATCTTAAACTTTATTAATGAACATAAAAATGTTATGATACATTACCTGGCAGTGTGAAGTGGGCGGGCTAACAGTGTAGCGGGCTAGCAGTGTGAACTGGGCGGGCTGGCGGGCCAGCGGGCTAAAATCTAAAACTTTATTGATTGAACATTAAAACCTCATGATACATTTCCTAGCAGTGTGAATTGGACGGGCTGACAGTGTAGCGGGCTAGCAGTGTGAACTGGGCGGGCTGGCGGGCCAGCGGGCTAAAATCTAAAACTTTATTGATTCAACATAAAAATGTTATGATACATTACCTGGCAGTGTGAAGTGGGCGGGCTAACAGTGTAGCGGGATAGCAGTGTGAACTGGGCGGGCTGGCGGGCCAGCGGGCTAAAATCTAAAACTTTATTGATTGAACATTAAAACCTCATGATACATTTCCTAGCAGTGTGAATTGGACGGGCTGACAGTGTAGCGGGCTAGCAGTGTGAACTGGGCGGGCTGGCGGGCCAGCGGGCTAAAATCTAAAACTTTATTGATTCAACATAAAAATGTTATGATACATTACCTGGCAGTGTGAAGTGGGCGGGCTAACAGTGTAGCGGGCTAGCAGTGTGAACTGGGCGGGCTGGCGGGCCAGCGGGCTAAAATCTAAAACTTTATTGATTCAACATAAAAATGTTATGATACATTACCTGGCAGTGTGAAGTGGGCGGGCTAACAGTGCAGCGGGCTAGCAGTGTGAACTGGGCGGGCTGGCGGGCCAGCGGGCTAAAATCTAAAACTTTATTGATTGAACATAAAAACGTTATGATACATTACCTGGCAGTGTGAAGTGGGCGGGCTAATAGTTAAGCGGGCTAGCAATGTGAACTGGGCGGGCTGGCGGGCCAGCGGGCTAAACTTTAAAACTTAATTGAATCAACATTAAAACCTCTTGATTCATTTCCTAGCAGTGTGAACTGGGCGGACCAGCGGGCTAAACTTTAAACTTAATTGAATCATCATAAAAACCTTACTATACATTTCCTAGCAATATAAGCTCTGTGCTAGCAGTCTAGTGGTCTAAATTCCATACTGAATTATTTTAACACTAAAACAATTCTGGAGACCTGCAACCCCGCTCCATTCTTTGGCTGTAACGCCAACGAGGCCAATGATGCGGCGCCCATCGAGCAAATAGCTAATGTTCTCAGGAACAGATAAACTTTATAGAATTTCACTGTCCATTAATGAGTTCGTTTAAACGTTTGCATTGGGGGTGCCAGAAAGATAAATCAAACGACGTCGCTTGTTAAAACCACGTTTTATTCTGTCGAGAAAACGGACAATTATGCCTCAGAAATGAATATATTATTACTTCTTTAAAAAGGAGAAACATGATCGAGATCAAGTTTTAAAGCTGCACACCTCCAAATGAGCAAAACTATTTCGATAATATCGAACCTGAGAAAAGTGTACATGTAGTAAGATTTTAGGAAAGGTATACAGTAAAGATTCAGAATTCTAGTAAAACTTTACATGTAATGTGCTATTTATGACCGAATTTTTCAGTATGTAAAACTAAAGTTTAATGTTATTGCGTTACGAACGCAGTAAGGGCTATTTTTGCAGATTTTGTCCTCTTTATAGTAATTTACATAGGTTGTAAGTGGCATTGATAATGTCTAAATTGCATTATTTTGGTAACTTTACAATATGAAAGCGTTAAAGACATTTTCAAATTTTCATGAAAATTAGCATGAATCTGGAGGTGTGCTGCTTTAAAACATTTAAATAATAGTTTCAGAGCTTGTTAAATGCTTCTAACGAAGAAAGTAGCGCTTAATGTGAAATTATTTGTCATAAAAGTAGCAAAATGTAAACAAAGTAGTATTTTGACTTCCATACAAAATACTAAATCCCTTTAACTGTAGTAATCGCAAAAAAATGCACAAGAAGAGAAATATGTACCTATATAACAGTAAAAACGTTTTTCTTGTGTTTGTTGTCGTTGTTTTCTTTTTCAGTGACGCTCCTAAAGTATAACCTCAAAAGGCCCAGTATGCCCCAGAATTTTTTTATGTGATCATTATTAAATTTGATTGAACTATTTGAAAAAGAAAATTGATATAACTTTTATTTAACTGTATTTATTTATACAAATTTGAATGCGATTTATTGTGTAATAAAAATGAAACTTACATTAGTTGGCATTACTTAAAAATATCTTAAACTCTCGTCAAAGGTTTGTAACTTTTTCTTTTAATCGTTTTACATCATATTTTTACATCAATGACAACTCATGTGAGATCCTATACATGTTATGTATATGTCATAGTATCTGTAATAATAAAATAATTTTCTATGCGTTTTATTGTAATGGCATTATGTATGTCGACTCTCTTATAAATTAAAAAAAGGGAAAAAAACAAACAAATAACAAAAATTTACTGTATATATATAAATGAGTATGCTAGATATCACACTGAGAAATGAAAATTTGCAATATTTTCACAAATGCGAAGGACACTTTTCAGTGTGATATTTAGCATATTAGCCCAAAAAGAAATCAGTTTGCCGTATAAGTAAATGACCATGAACGACCGTTTTCATCAAAGCTCGAGAAACAGAGATGATACCACAAGTTCGACTGCTACGAGAACATTGAGCAGACAAAAGTAATTTAAGATAATACTCATCGCTACGTAGTAACTGATAACATTTTTAGATTTTAGTTAGTAACGATATTTCAATTGAGAAAAAACAATCTAAAAATGAAGAAAACACATTATTTTCTGTAAATCGGTGCGAGACTTCACTGTTGCAGTCTCCGTTTATTATAGAATCTGTGCTGTTAGATATACCGACAGAGCTTTATCCAAATGTTAACAAGTGTCTGCATTTCCTTCCAGCAATGCCAGTGCTGATCGTTCATTCATCAGCTGGAAAAGGCTAAAGACTTTCTAGCGCTCAACGATGACCACTGGTCATCTCTCTGGCTTAGGACTTTTGCAGATCCATAGAGACAGGGTGATCTAGGTTGACGTTGTTTTGTGTTTGTCACTTTTATTTGCTGACTAGTAAAAGCGTACACGTCATTTGTTTGCGTCTGTTTATTCAATGCATATCCTTATATAACGTTTATCAAATAACTTGAAATATTATTATACGATCTAGCAATTATATCTAAGACGTTTTCTAAATCACGTCACATATTAACACAACTCATATCATTACATAAAATGTTCTTATAATGATAATATTAAATTCCTTCTGACTTCAATTTGTAATTTTATGGACCTCAATGGGCATGAAAATGCATAATTTTAACATCTCTAAATGGTGAAAATCAATGAGCTTCCGGGGACCCCTACCAGGGCTCTGCCCTGGACCTGCAAGGGGGCCTACAGCGGCCCCCTTAACCCCCTGCCTGAGCGTCCGTAATATCGATTTCGGCCTAGCTACGCCACTGAAAGGTTTAGCCAATGAGCTTTCCACTGATATATTAATTTGAAAAATCAGACGAAAATTCTCAGGAAAAGCGCAGCGGCCAGTAAAAAAATGTTATCTTATTGTAGATTTCTGACAGAAATGTAATGTTTGTTAATATAATTATAAGGTGTTAAAGTTGGCGAGCAAAGCCAGTCAAACAAATAAACTTTCTCTTTTTTTTACTCTTTCTTTAATAACGAGTAATCAGCGGTCAGGTCTGGGAGGTGCACTCAGAAGCTAGGGTGCCTAGCGGTGTCTTTTATTTCAGTCAAAAGCCAGGCTTGCCTGGCGGTGTCGGTAGTTGGATGATTTAACCCGGGTGCTAGAAACGTTTTGCCGGGGTTTCGATCAAGGAGCTATTTAGATGGATGGAGACCAGGATGAAGAAGATGAAGATGATTGCGGGATAAAGACCGCCCCAATAGTACCATGCTGGTGGCGAATGTGACGTTGTATACTGACCCCATAGAATAATGACCTCCCCTGTAATTATTTTTATATAGACTAATGACTCCTGAAAATACAGACACCTCATAAAATAATGACCCCATCCCCCGATTTGATTTATAACATGTTATGACTTCTATGTAAAATAATAAATGGGGGATCATTTTTCTATGGGGATCAGTTTACAACGCTACAAACTGACCCTCATAAAATCACTTTGTTAAAGTTTCCGACTGGTATCAATTGTCTTATTGCAGCTCTGAGTTCGAGGCTACCATAGTGATTACATGTATTTTCATGTAAGGAAGTTAACCAACTAGCTTGCGGAATGTGGGTGGTTATAACAAGAACTGGTGTCCGCCTGAGCCTGAAAGTTGTCCGAAATGGCACCTGGGGTCTGAATCGTACAAAATGGAGGAGAGGTTAACAATCGATCCGTCCAGATGATCAGAAATGATGTTTGCATTTTTGGAATGAGTTGCATTTCGTAAAAAAATCCCACATTTTTAGGATCTTATCCTCAACCATTAGGCCTACTGATTTACGGCAGATTATATCCTAGTGATATAGATTCAGAAATTGCGGGAAATGCCGCAAAACTGGGAAGCAATGACAGCAGTATGTTGATTGAGATATTTCATTGTCAGTATATTTGTCACATTTTTATTTCATAATTATTTTCAGACATACCAACAACTATCATTTCACTAGATCTACTGTCCATGAACAAAACTAAAACAAAATTTTGATATGTGGTGTTGCCATGACAAGAGTTCGAGATCTCTATTTCTTTGTCCGTTCAAAGCAGAAAATTGGATTATGTTATTACTTTTAAACAGATTGAATATATATCACCAGTCTATGACTATTCGGTTTATATAGTACATTTGTTAATTTACAATATCAGGAGGTGAGCTGTGGTGGGTAGGGAAACCAAAGGGTGTATTCACACTAGACGTGTTTTGGAGCCAGTGACCGTTAGGCACCGGAGACCGTCGATTATATCTATAAGAGTAACTTCCCTTTGTTTAAAATTGCCATTTGTACTGTTTATAGTAGCGATTCTCGGGTACTCGGGTAAAGTCTTATAACTAAGGTAATTTACTTAAATTTTTCCCCTTTTTTTGTTTTAAAGACGAATAAGCATTCCGTTTCCCTGTCCAGAGGCAAGCAGGGATAGAATCTACCTGGATTTCTCACCAGGGCGGTGGTAGAAAAAATGAAAAAGTGATAAAAATCATACTTTCGGTTCATTTTTCCGAATACCATGGTGAAATTTCCCATATTTCACTCTCCTTTCATTTATTCTGAGTATGAAATGTTTGTTTTCCCGAAATGCAAAGAAGGACAATTCCAAAAATCTCTCAAACGACAAAATGCTGTTTTATCAACCTTTGCACAAATTTATGCTCACAGGAACCGATACTATGCGAAATATACTGTACGGTATTACCCCACTATTATATAAAAAAAACTTATAGTATATAGGGTGTATATTTGGATATTATAATTAATATTGGTTATTTGATAGCATTTCAAGTTCCTGTGTTTATGCTATAAGTGCATGACTATTTTACCTACGTTAACAAAGCTAGAAAAGTAAAGAAAAATAGTTACACTTAAAAAATCTCTAAAATTCTATTTGCAATCAAACGCGAAAACGATTCATGCAATAATTCATCAGCCAACATGAGTGATATGAAACTGAATGCTGACAACAATATCTACTGGTTGGCGACAACCAACCGGACACTTTTTTAACATTTTGTCCATACAGATTTTTATAATTTTAAAGCTCGAGATTTTACACAGTACAGCTAGGTTCTACTTCGAACTAACAGACAATTTTGTTTATTTCTGACTGTGTTGACGCCTATATCTGAGGCCTGTGAAGGAGGGTATCAAAATTACCCAAATTGTCCACACTACAATACCAAGTGTCCGGACAGATATGTGCATGGTGCTGATTTAATTCAGTAAAAGCTTTGGTGTTTAAATTTTTAGCTCACCAGAGCCGAAGGCTCAGGGTGAGCTATCAGTATCAAAGGGGGATACTCCGGCATCCGTCGTCATGCGTCAACAATCGTCTGCTTCTCTGAAACTGCTAGGCAGATTTGCCTAAAATTTGGTCCTACAGAACTAATGGGTGGATGATCACCAAACTTTGTCTGTAGCATTCTTGGGTAGTCTTTTATCAAGTTTGCTCATATTAATTTGATTGGCCCCTTTTAGGGGTCTCTAGGGCTAAAATAGAAAAACCTTTAGACATCTTCTTCTACAGAACTAATTGATGGATGATCACCAAACTTTGTCTGTAGCATTCTTGAGAAGTCTTTTATCAAGTTTGCTCATATTTATTTGATTGGCCCCTTTTAGGGGCAGCTAAAGCTAAAAATAGAAATACCTTTAATTGCTCCTACAGAAGTAATGGATGGATGATCACCAATTTTGTCTTTAGCATTCCTAGGTTGTCTTTTATCAAGTTAGTTCATATTAATTTCATTGGCCCCTATAAGTGGCCATGAAAACTAAATATACAAAAACCTTTGAACATTATCTCCTACTGAAATGTTTGATGGAGATCAATTGATCACCAAACTTTGTCTGTAGCATTCTTAGGTAGTCTTTTATCAAGTTTGTGGCCCTGTTAATGCTAAAGCTTAAATGCCCTAGGTCATTGCATTTCTTCAAATTATAGTTTAAAGATATTCTATGCTCAAATTTAATATTAGAAAATATTGACAATGGATACAAAGTCTCTTTATAAATATAAAATAAACGTGTTTCACACAAAGTAGATATGTTATGTTTTAAGCTATTCACACTATAGGTGGTCACAGTATAAATATAATGATAATGTCATTAAAAAAACTGTTGATGTTTTTTTTTATATAGAAAATACCATCTTTACTTGGCCTATAATAGCATATGCAGCTTCCCCATTCTTTTATCCAAATAGGACATTTTCAGTAAGAATTTCATAGATTTCAATGGCTTGGGTCATGACCTGTTTATGATGTGTAAATATCTTACAGATCTGGAAGTCGGACATCATATTTCATCATTGTAAGGTCAGTTGTAGGTCATTAACCAGGAAAAAAAATAGGCCTAAAGAAACATAAAATTTGTTTCTCCTGTACTTTACTAACAAAGATGAGTTTGTATGCTCAAATTTTATTGAATTTTGTAAAAAATTGCTTTTTTTTTTTTTTTGATGAATTGGATTTAAACTTGGACAAAGCACATTTCAATAAATTTGGGACAGACTGTTGAACCTGAGTTTCATGTGCATAATTGAATTTTGGCATCAGTTGAGCTGTTTTTGGTATTTTTGAAACCATTGCACATACTTTCTTATTTTTAATGTACTGAGACTTGACAATTGGAATGATGTACAGAGACTTGAAATTTGGACCAGGAATGTAATTTCTGATGTGAATTGAATTAAGATATCAAATGACTACCTTTCATATTATTATTTGATATTGTTTGACCTAGTTTGTCGTTTTTTGATGTACCTGTTGCAAATTTGGACAATGTGTTTAATTTCTGATCCTGAATGAATTTTAATATGAACTGGCCTACTTTTGATATATTGGATATCGCTTTCTTTCATGTACAGACTTGATATTTGGACTATGGGCGTAATTTGTGTAATTTTTTTATGTTGAATACAATTTTGATACCAGCTGACCTACTTCATGTATTATTGACACCATTTGACCTACTTTCTTGTATTTTGATATTCATGTTTTAAATTTGGACCAGATTTGTAAATTCTGATGCCGAAATGAATTTTGATATCAACTGACCCACTTTTGATATTTTAAATATAACTTGACCTTCATTCTTGTGTTTTTGACATACAGACATGAAATTCGGAATATGGGTGTAACTTCTGATGCTGAATTGAATTTTGATATCAACTGGCCTACTTTTCATGTTTTTTCAATGTTTGACCTATTATGTTTTTTATGCCTCCACAGAGTGGGAGCATATAGCGTTGCACTTGTCCGTCCGTCTGTCCGTACGTCTGTCCGTCCGTCCGTCTGTCCGTACGTCCCGAAATCTTGTGAACGCAACTCCTCTTAAACCGGATGGCAGATTTTGCTTAAACTTTCAGGGATGAACAACCTCAATGTGTAGATGGTAGTAAAGGAAGGAATTTTCGCTGCGACCAAATTTAACAGAATTATGGCCCTTTGTTGATTGTTTCACTATATACTATGTAGAAATTTTGTGAACGCAACTCCTCTTAAACCGGATGGCAGATTTTGCTTAAACTTCCAGGGATGAACAACCTTAATGTGTAGATGGTAGTGAAGGAAGGAATTTTTGCTGCGACCAAATTTAACAGAATTATGGCCCTTTGTTCATTTTTTCACTATATACCATATAGAAATTTTGTGAACCAAATTTAACAGAATTATGGCCCTTTGTTGATTTTTTTACTATATACCATATAAATGTTGTTAGTGGGGGCATCCGTGTCCTTTGGACACAGTTCTAGTTTAGGTACAGTTATGTTACCATACAGAATGTATAGAAAAATTTGTTGTCCCAAACTGTAAACTTCAAACATCTACACCTTACATGTTGTGCATGTGACATTTTGTGTTTTCATTCAAAAAAGTTATAAAAAAAAATTGTCCAGTCAAAATTAATCTTGCTCTAGTGGTCATTTATTCTGCATTTATTCTACATAGTCTCATAGGAACACACTTGCAACATACATATTTTTAGCTCGACTATTCGATAAGAATAAGTAGAGCTATTGCAGTCACCCGAGCGTCGGCGTCGGCGTAACCACTTATGTTAAAGTTTTTGTGATAGTTCAAATATTTTCAAAGTCCATGGACATATGGCTTTGAAACTTTGCACACTTGTTCACCATCATGACCCCAATCTGTAGACAGGAGGAGGTAACTCTATCAAGCATTTTGACAGAATTATGCCCCTTTTTCGACTTAGAATTTACATTTAAGTTTTTGTAATAGTTCAAATATTTTCAAAGTCCATAGACATATGGCTTTGAAACTTTGCACACTTGTTCACCATCATGACCCCAACCTGTAGACAGGAGGAGGTAACTCTATCAAGCATTTTGACAGAATTATGCCCCTTTTTCGACTTAGAATTTACTTTTAAGTTTTTGTAATAGTTCAAATATTTTCAAAGTCCATTGACATATGGCTTTGAAACTTTGCACACTTGTTCACCATCATGACCCAAACCTGTAAACAGGAGGACGTATCTGTATCAAGCATTTTTTTTACTATCGAGCACTAAGAATAGTCGAGCGTTGCTGTCCTACCGACAGCTCTTGTTAACAAAGCCTTTCCAAAATATTACTAGGGCAAAATATTACAATTTATATAGTGACTAATGAATTGATGGGTTAGATGAGTGATATAGGGCCATCTTAGTGGCCCTATTGTTTATTATGCAAAAATTAGCAAAGTTTTCACTAAAACTTGCGTTATCAGACATTGTTAACGAGGTTGTAGGGATCAAAAACGTTTTCCAGATGCCCTCCATCACATTTAAAACTTCGTAGAAGTATGTTGACATTGAAGTTCAGTTCACATACACTCACGAGCCTGGGGTTAGTATCTCGAAGCTATCGTTATATTTGCGTTTACGAACGTGCTGACGATTGACGGAAGGTTGCTGAACGAGAGACTAGCGCGGGTATCTCGAAAGCAATAGTTAAGCAATCGTTCGTTCCTTACTCGTTAGTTATTAACGATTAAATTATGTAATCATTTGAATACCGCGAACAGTGTGTTAAAGCAGGAAGAAATGGTCGTAACAAAACGTAAACCAAGAAGAAATGCAAATTTTGAAAGTTCCTATGAAACTGACGTGATTACTATTATAGGTATAAACATAAAATAGAAACTGCAAGACAAGTAACTGAGGGAACACGACTGTAGACTGACGATTGTGCAGCAAAGGCTGCAAGTGGAAATCAGACATTTTAAACACTTTACTCAGTCAAAGCAAATATTCTGGCCGAGCTTCTTCTCAATACCCTCCCTCATTTTTTCAGGCTTCAGCTACGTGTTCACTGTTGTTTCAGGGTGAAAGTATACTCTCAAGATTCAAACTTGAAAATGTTGCTTTCATGGATGAAATATTGGAATTTCAAATATAATATCTAAATGAATGTAAATAGCGAACATTCAGTCGTCATAGTATTTGAATACTAGTAGTCTGTTTATTTAAACACATATCAGGACTCAAGTTAGTCCATAACTCTGCTTAGTATACAATGTAAAAACTTAATAAATGGATTATGTACTCGTATATGCAAATGATCTCACCATAAATAATCTAGAATTCTTTTTCTTATGTAAGTTTAAAAAAAAGATCGTGATATACCATTGACAATGATTATTTCTATGATAATGATGATGATACAACGACGACAACGACGATGGGTTTAGTTTTAAAGAAATATTAAGATGTTTTTCGTTTGAGTGAAATATAAAATATGTTCACGAAACATGATAAATTTCCATATATTTTCACGAGCTGGAAATCTTACTTTTACTCTTTAAAAAGAACGTTCGATTTCGAAGCTTTATAAATTCGTTATAAATATTCCTGACAGGTTATATGGCCGTATATAAACGGTTGTTTGCAATATAAACCTCGCCTTACGGCTCGGCAACCGTTTATATAAGGTCAAGCAACCTGTCTAATATTAAAAATATTATTTTCAGTGGATATTCACTAAGTTCACTTCAGTGTTGTTATATTTTTCTGGTCCTTCGGGATCATTGAAGCCGGCACTATTAAGTGTTGAGAATTGATTACCACTCAAGCCGGTGCTAGGGGGCGTGAGGGATGTTGCACGTATTCATTATCCCTCATGTACAGACTCAATCAAACCGAGTCTGCAGTTCTCGTAATGCTTCTGAGGGATCACTTTTTTTCCAGATTTTATATAATCTTCTGTTAATTTATGGATAAATTTTCATTTTGTCTTTAACAAAGGATTAAGAAAGGATTGTGTATTACAAATTTAAATATAGCAAGTAAAAATATAACAGCTGGTGTTGGCAGGAGCAAAATATTTCAATCTGTTACGTAAAACAAACAAAATTTCCATATATTTCATGCCTATCTGTTGTACTGATTTTTGCAGCGTAACGTAATGAATTTTTTTCATGTCATTAAATCATTACATCACAGAAAACTTTTCGAAATATATTATTCTGTAAAAAGTACCGAATTTTATTACATTTTTAACATTATGTACATGCAAATATTTATTTATATTGTCTTGTGCAAAATTACACATTACAGAGTTTATTCCTTTCGATGCTTCAGTAATTATATGAATTTTTTCATCAGCATTTAAATATGCATCTTCATGTTAACTAAAAGAGCTCTTACATATGTTTGATATGTCAGAAAAAGAAATAAAATATCATATTTATGTAGGTTCATCATTTTTATCAATAAGTTGATATAATTCTCATTTTTTGTGTATTTTAAATTCGAAGTATTCTTCCTTTTGTGCCAAAGTGATAGTAACGAGAGCTATACGACACCTTCTACGCATTCGTTAATAATTGGACATTTTAACGATTATTCGTTAATTACGAGTGTTTCGAGATACCAGTGAAAACCTTAACGAGAGGCTTACGACAGTCGTTATGCTAACGATAGCTTCGAGATACTGACCCCTGGTCTGGGAATTCTATGCATATTAGTAAGCCATGGACACGCCCTATCATTTTGCAACACATCGTCATATGTGCATCAGCGCGTGTGTCCGTCAACATTTTGATGTGGGTTTTGTAAGTCTGTTGGTGTCAACACTACAAACTTTGTAGTGTAGCGGTTATTCATCGACAGCTTCGGGTACATTACATTGTTGTTTTCATTTAACATACTTATCGTGATAACCACAGTCAAAGTCTGGCCATCTAACAGTTGGCCAAATATAAAAAGAAACACTTAACATCATCAGTAATTTAGTGAACGCTTAACGGTGTTTCAGGCTTATAGTTAATAGAAGCTGCGATGGTCATGATACATGTCAATGCATAAAGTTTCCTAACCATTTCAGAGAAAAGTAATAATTTAAAAGTAAAAATGTAAGAATTATTCATCTGTGTCAAAAGGTCAGACTCAATGTCAAGTAAAAGAAAACATATTAACTACTCAGAAGTGTAGTGCTGTAGGATTTATAAGAGTTGCTACATTGCTCTGAACATTATTAGTGTTTGACCTCATTTGTCCACAAATGAAATCGCATTGCTTTAAAAAAAAAATTTTATCCATGAACACTAACCACTGCAACCACTTAATTGTTAAGAGTTAGCACTTAGGGATTAATTTTTACTGAAAAAAAATGTGGGCATGCGTTTACAAAATTGCAAATCTGCATCAGAAAGGTAAACAAACATGCTTTCTTCTTATTCTGTCTTTACCCTTCTTTTTAGGAGAACCTTGTAGAACGCGTACAATAATTAATTTAAACATCCGATTCGTCCTTAGCATGTTGGAAGTTGATTACATTTTGTATAATATATCTACGTCCATAGCAAGGGCTGTACACAAACCAGCTGTTGTGTGTCTATGTAAAGTACAACAGAACAGGGTGTCAATGACTTTATTGATCTCTCATTGGTCTGAACAGCTTTATATTTTTCAATGTGGGTGTTAACAAAATGTTACAAAGTTAGGCTGTGCAGATCAAACGATTTCGACGTCAGATTGATTCTATTGTCTTTAACGCGTAGTAGATCATTGTGTCCAGAATAAGACATTGTTTTGCCACTACTTTCTTCTTTATTCACGTTAGGGAAACCAAAATTTACATAAGGGAAGTTTGTGGAACTTTGGCATTCTATAAATGTTATAGGTGTATTCTGTAAGATTTCCATTAATCTGCTTGATGTCATAAAAGCATAAAATGGCTGCCACTTTGGCGGCAGGTATAGTTTTATGAATAAGAAATATAATACATTCTTCTATACATTACATACATACATTAAGTACATTAAGTACATTCATACATTAAGTACATACATTAAGTACATACATTAAGTACATACATACATTAAGTACATACATACATTGATGCATTAAGTACATACATTAAGTACATTAAAAACATATATATATATACATACATTACATACATACATTACATGCATGTATCCATACATACAAACATACAATACAATACAATAAATATCATACATAACATACATACATACTATATCAAAACGACATGTCGCGTACAATACCCATGCCTGTTGGTCTAAGCCTCTAAGGTCAAGGTCTCTGTTAATAAAAATAGAATATTCTTGTTCCGGGCTGTAAATTTGTTAATTTTTATTTGCTCGACCTTTTTTTGAAAAAAAATAGAGGTATTGTTATAGTCGCGGCGTTGCCTTTGCCGATGCCGTTGCCGTCCGCACACTTGTACCTGGGTCATAACATTTTAGTTATTGGTGTATTTTCTTCATACTTGGCCACAACAACCTAACATTGACCTTTAACCATAAATGACCTTGACCTTCAAGGTTAAAAGTCCAACTTTTGCTTGTTTTTGCTATTATTGGCTGTAATTTTGTTATTATTGAATGGATTGTCTTCAAAATTGAACATAATACTAAAAATCTTCAAGGATATCCCTTTAAAATAACCAGACAGACCTTTACCTTCACTCATAAATGACCTTGACTTTGAAGGTCAAATTATTGAAATTTTCATTTTTTTTTTTTGCTATTATTGGCTGTAATTTTGTTATTTTTGAATGGTTTGTTTTCAAACTTTAACATATTAATCTTCAAGATAACCCTTAAAAACAACCAGACTGACCATGACCTTCACTCATTAATGACATTGACTTTGAAGGTCAAATTATTGAAATATTCATTTTTTTGGCTGTAACTGGCTGTTACTTTGCTATTATTGAAGGGATCAACTTCGTATTATAACAGAACATTCTTAAGGACAAAACCTTGTTGTTTATCAAACCCAAACGAAATTAGCCGGAAAAAGGCCGGGAGACATTAGAATGTACGTTATAAGCGGTACCTCGTAAAAACCGATCTCGTTATAAGTGGAGTAAAGTGGCACAGATGTTCACCATGCCAAGGCAGTGTGTCGGATACATCACTCATATCCGGGCTATAACTTCGTTATAAATGAAAGAATTTCAAAATATCTTGGCACAAATGTTTACCATGCCATGGCGATAGTCGCGTACAATACCTATGCCTGTAGGTCCAAGTTCGAGATCACTTTTAATAAAGATATCATTTCTATGCCAACGCCATGAAATATTTTCATCGCATTACCAACAACTTCTTTACAGACATTTCCATTATGAGCACACAACATGGCCGCAAATACAAATAATTGTCTTGATCTTCAAAATAATTCTTATTGTCTTATTACTCGCACATCACTGTCTTTCAAATGCTATTATTCCCATCAGTGCACTTAAGTTTCTCATAATAATGCATAGCGGGGGCATCTGTGTCCTATGGACACATTTCTAGTTTAATTTTGAGCTTATTTCGTGAATTCTATAACATTTTAAAACAAAATGATAATACTACGTTTTTATGCATTGGAATGTTATTGCATTGTAAGAAGTATTCTTTTTAAAATTGTTACAATATTTATGTTGTTTCCTTGCAGAAGCTGGCTGAGCGAAAAACAAATCGGATACAACAGTCTAAGGGAGTTGGTGCTGTCCAGACTGCAAAAGAAAACCAAAAAAAAAAAAAAACCTATTTGAAAAATAAACATTGACTGAAAAAATCTCTTGGGAGCAAATAAAGATAAGACCAAAATGAAATAATAGAACAAAACAATGATGAAAAGAAGAACAAAAAAAGTAAAAGCAAGTACAAATATTGCAAGTGACAACACAATTAAAGCAGGTAAAAATGTTATAAATAAAGATCCGGAAGATGACAATAAAATCGGAATTGAAAATACCACAAAAAGAATGAGAAGAAAGAGAAAGTCTGCAACAACAAATACACTCACAAAAGAGAAAATTCCAAGAATTGCAAAACAGAAAACCAAAGAAGAAGAAAGCCAGAAAGACAAAGAAAAAAATGATCCACAAAACTCGGATGATCAAGCCAAAAAAACAGAAATGAAAACAGACAGGAACATTTGTAGGATAAATAAAAGAAAAAATGCACCAAAGCAGCGAATTCCAAAAGAAGAACAAGTTGGAAAAACAAAATATATGACATTAAGATCAACAATTGGTCTTAATTTGACCCGTAAGACAAACAATGAACAAAGTATGGACAGGCAAAAAGAAGATAAAGTTGATCATACAAAAGACTCAGAAACTGATAGTAACAGTGAAATATATATAACACATAAAGTTCTCAATGACAAAAAACTTAGGGAAGAAAACGGTAAGATTGATAAGAAAGAAAAGATACAAAGTCACAAAAAGAAAGACCAAGCAACAGATGAAAAAACAAGACCAGCACATGTTAAAGAAACTAAATTTGAATGTGAGGTTGATCAGAAAGATAATGGGCAAAGTTACAAAAAGAATTCAGAAGGTAACAAAAGAAGACGAGCACATGTAGAAGCAACAAAATTTGAATGTAATGATGAACAGAAAGATAAGAGACAACATGACAAATTAAAAAAGGTTTCGAAAGTTTACAAAACAAGACAGGCACATGTAGAAAAAACTAAAAGTGTGGTTGGTCAGGAAGATAAGAGACAAAGTGACAAAAACAAACATGGACCAAAAGATGAAAAAACTGGACCAGCATATTCAGAAGAAACTGATCATGATAGTGGCATTGGTGATAAAAATAAGAAAAATGATCGAAAGGGTTATAAAACTAGACTAGATGATGCGTTTGATCAGAAAAATAAGAAACAACATTACAAAGTGAAACATAAACCTGAAGACGATGAAACTGAACGAGCACATTTAGAAAAACTAAATATGAAAGTGAGGTTGATCAGAAAGATAAGAAACAAAGTGGAAAAAAGAAAAAGGAATCAAAAAGGTACAATATTGCTCGACAGACAAACCAAACATGAAGGTGAATGTCAGGACAAAGAAAAGATAAAAAGTGTCAAAAAGAAACAAGGACCAAAAGATGATAAAGCTGAACGAGAAAATTGTGAAGAATCTGAATATGAAAGTGAAGTTGATGAACAAAAACACGAGAAAATAACTAAATTAGCACCTTTACACGAAGCTGAAAATGACTGTGAATTATATAAGAAAGATATGAGACAACAAAACAAAATGAAAAATAAACCAAAAGATGATAAAAATAAACGAGAACATAACAAAAAGAAAAATGAAGCAAAATATGATAAAACTAAACGAGCACATTTCGAAGAATCTGAATATGAAAGTGACATTGATGAGAAAGATAAGAAACATAAACCAAAATGTGATAGTACTGGCCATTTACATTTAGAAGAATCTGAATATGATAGTGAAAATGATGAGAAAGATAAGACACAACGTGAGAAAATGAAACATCAACCAAAAGATGATAAATCTAGACGAAAACATTTAGATGCATCTGAATATGATAGTCAAGTTGATAAAATATATCAGACACATAGTCACAAAATGAAACATGGCAAAAAAGATGATAAAACGAAACGAAAACATGAGAGAAATAAATTTGAAGCAAAAGATGATAAAACGAAAAAAGAACATTTAGAAGAATCGGAATATGAAAGTGGGGTTGAAGAGAAAAACAGGACACAAAGTGACAAAACGAAATGTGAACCAAAATATGATAGTACTAGAAGGGCAAATTTAGAAGAATCTGAATCTGAAAGTGAAGTTGATGAGAAAGATAAGAGACAATGTGACCAAATGAAACATCAACCAAAAGATGAAAAAAATCAACGAGCCCAGTTAGAAGAATCAGAATATGAAAGTGATGTTGATGAGAAAGATAAAAAAAATGAACCAAGATGTGATAGTACTGGTGAAGTACATTTAGAAGAATCTGAATATGATAGTGAAAATGATGAGAAAGATAAGACACAACGTGAGAAACTGAAACATCAACCAAAAGATGATGAATCTATACGAGAACATTTAGATGAATCTGAATATGATAGTCAAGTTGATGAAAAGGATCAGACTCAAAGTAACAAACTGAAACATGGCCAAAAAGATGTTAAAACGAAACGAAAACATGACAAAAAGAAACTTGAAGCAAAAGATAATAAAACTAAAAGAGGACATTTAGAAGAATCTGAATATGAAAATGGGGTTAAAGAGAAAAACAGGACACAAAGTGACAAAATGAAATGTGAACCAAAATATGATAGTACTAGAAGGGAAAATTTTAAAAAATCTGAATCTGAAACTGATGTTGATGAGAAAGATAAGAGACAATGTGACCAAATGAAACATCAACCAAAAGATGAAAAAAATCAACGAGCCCAGTTAGAAGAATCAGAATATGAAAGTGATGTTGATGAGAAAGATAAAAAAAATGAACCAAGATGTGATAGTACTGGTGAAGTACATTTAGAAGAATCTGAATATGATAGTGAAAATGATGAGAAAGATAAGACACAACGTGAGAAACTGAAAAATCAACCAAAAGATGATAAATCTAGACGAGAACATTTACATGAATCTGAATATGAAAGTGACGTTGATGAGAAAGATAAGAAACATAAACCAAGATGTGATAGTACTGGTCAGGTACATTTAGAAGAATCTGAATCTGATTGTGAAGATTATAGGAAAGATAAGACACAACGTGACAAAATGAAACATCAACCAAAAGAAGATAAATTTAGACGAGAACATTTAGAAGAATCTGAATATGAAAGTGGGGTTAAAGAGAAAAACAGGACACAAAGTGACAAAATGAAATGTGAACCAAAATATGATAGTACTAGAAGGGAAAATTTTAAAAAATCTGAATCTGAAAGTGAAGTTGATGAGAAAGATAAGACACAACGTGACCAATTGAAACATCGACCAAAAGATGATAAAACTAAACGAGGACATTTAGAAGAATCAGAATATGAAAGTGACATTGATGATAAAGATAAGAAACATGAACCAAGATGTGATAGTACTGGTCAGGTACATTTAGAAGAATCTGAATATGATAGTGAAAATGATGAGAAAGATAAGACACAACGTGACAAAATGAAAAATCAACCAAAAGATGATAAATCTAGACGAGAACATTTACATGAATCTGAATATGAAAGTGACGTTGATGAGAAAGTTAAAAAACATAAACCAAGATGTGACAGTACTGGTCAGGTACATTTAGAAGAATCTGAATATGATAGTGAAAATGATTGGAAAGATAAGACACAACGTGTCAAAATGAAACATCAACCAAAAGATGATAAATCTAGACGAGAACATTTAGATGAATCTGAATATGATAGTGACGTTTATGAGAAAGTTAAAAAACATAAACCAAGATGTGACAGTACTGGTCAGGTACATTTAGAAGAATCTGAATATGATAGTGAAGATGATTGGAAAGATAAGACACAACGTGTCAAAATGAAACATCAACCAAAAGATGATAAATCTAGACGAGAACATTTAGATGAATCTGAATATGATAGTCAAGTTGATGAAATATATCAGACACAAAGTAACAAAATGAAACATAGCCAAAAAGATGATAAAACTAAACGAGAACATGACAAAAAGAAACATGAAGTGAAAGATGATAAAACTAAAATCGAACATTTAGAAGAATCTGAATATGAAAGTGGGGTTGAACAGAAATACAGGACACAAAGTGACCAAATAAAACGTGATCAAAATAATGATAGTACAAGAAGGGCAAATTTAGTAGAATCTGAAAGTGAAGTTGATGAGAAAGATAAGAGACAACGTGACAAAATAAAACATCAACCAAAAGATGATAAAACTAAACGAGCACATTTAGAAAAATCTGATTATGACAGTGAAGTTGATGAGGAAGATAAGAGACAACGTAACAAAATATATCTTGAAACAAAATACGATAATTCTAGACGAGAACATTTAGAAAGATCTGAATATGAAATTGAATCTGATAAAAAAGATAAAAGACAACATGACCAAAAGAAACATGAACCGAAAGATGAAAAAACTGAACGATCACATGAATCTGAGACTGAGGTCAATAAAAAAAATAAAAGGCGTAGTGACAGTATAAAAATGCAAAAACCAAATTATGAAACTAAATCAAGTGAAACAGAAAGTGATAATGACTTTCAAACAGAAAGTGGAAGGTATAGAAAACAAAAGGACCGGACTAATTATAAAACACATTATGACATGGTATATGAAAGTAAAACAACAAAAAACAGAAAACGAAAATACAGTGAAGAAAATGATGAAATTGATGAAATTAAAAATGATATCAAAAATGAAAGTGAAAGTGACAGGGATGATATTATTAAAAAGCTAAATGAAATGCATCAATTTTATATCACATTGACTAAAGCAGAATGGTTAGAATATAGGCCGAAAGATGACCACGAAAATGCTGTTAAACCTAAGATGTCAAGAGGATGGACAGATTTGATTTATGACAAAATAAACATGATAATTCCAACATGCCCCCTGAAGACCAGTTATCACAACATAAGTAAAATGAAGCAAAGGAGTGCTCGTTATTTAACAGGAGAAATCATTTGTAAGCATGAGAAATGCGCAAAATTTAACATTGAAATCAAGGACGAGCCAAGTGATGAAGACCTAGTAATAAGGATAAAAGTTAGATTGACAAGGCCAATCAGAAATCACGCAGCCGGCAAAGTGGAACCAAAGAAGCGAAAATTAACGGGGAAAAGGAGGCAGAAAATGAAAGAGTCTTTAAAAAAGTCAACCGCTTCAAATTTACATTATTCAATATTTGGCGAAATGAAAGAAGAAGAGATACAATTTGGAAATTATACAAAGTGTCAAACCGAAGAAATATTAAGAAAATTGAAAAGTGAAGTTAACAAGGATGACATATTGCATCCCGATCCATTTACTGAATTGGTAATAGTCAAAGATGTGATAGATTATGTAGCAAAGTATGATGGAGATGATTGGGGATATATTAAAGAATTGAGTTATGATCCATTTATGGTCACCATGTACACACCGTTATCGGTAGAAGTTGCAAAGAAAGCCGTCTCGAAAGGAGATGGCGTTTTTCATTTTGACGCTACTGGATCGGTTGTAAAAATGCTGTCAAAGAGGAAGGTATTTTATTATGCACTTGTGGTGAAAAAAGTGGATAACAAAACCGCATCTGTACCTGTCCTGGAGTTTTTAAGCAATAACCACGGAACATATCACTTGTGTCGGCCACTACAAGTATTTTTTTGTCACTTAGGTAAAAGTCTCCCAAAGACAATCATAGTAGACTTTTCTTGGGCTCTCATTCACAGTGTCTTACTCTCCGTGAATATAATGGACATTCATACCTACTTAAGGGCATGCTATGAAGTTGTTAGAGGGAAAAGAGAGAAAACGTTTACAGTTGTTTACTTGTGTTCAACACACATGCTAAAGGCTGTGAGAGACAATATGAGAGATAGAGTCAGGGACAAAGCACTTCGACATATTGCCTTGAGAGTATTTGCAATGATGCAAAATGTAACAAGTATTCACCAGTCTAGGGCCCTATGGAAGATATGGTGTGTAGTGTTTGGCAGCCGAGAAATGACGGCAGAGGTGCAATCCAGAACTGAGGAGCTTCTGAACATCCTAAAAATGGCAGACGTCAATGCGCTTGATACTGACTTGGTGTGTGACATAGGTAAACATTTTGTTAATATTAAGTCCGTCTTTCTTTTATAATTATCCACTTCATTGAATCGCATTCTTGAAAAGACTTTAATTATTGATTTACATTTATTTTAGAAACTTATTTTTATCTTAGACCATGATATTTAATTTTGGTTAATTCTTGTGAATATGACTCATCTCACGCAAGAAAGTTTATGTTTTTTCTATATACAGTCCAACCTCGATTGTTCTAAAGCCCGCTTCACACTGTCCCTCTGTATGCCCCGGTGCATCCCCGGTATTTTGTAGCCGGTGAACCGGGATGAACTGGGAAGATTGATGAAGCTTAGTTCACATTGCCTGGGTATACATCCATGGTGGATCCTGATTCAATGCGGTATTTCCCGGCGTTGCTACGGTTGTGATGCCGGTTGGCGCCGGTGTGTAAACCATGGCTGTATACCGTCACAGTGTGAACCCTGATTAAGTGCCAGGGACTGCATATAGAAAATGAATCCGGACTGAGTGTAACTTAAGAATAATGCCAGGTATTTGAATAAAGGGTTGTTGAATAGCCGGAGTTTGACTGTATCATTATATATCATTGTATTCTTTTGACAGATAAGGAATCGGACGATGAGTTGTTGCCTGTAGTGGCGAGAAAGGGGCCGATAAGGGAGCAGTCTCCATTTAGACCCCTCTACCAGAATTATATTCCCGAACAAGACACTAATGTTACAATATCTAACAAGTACTATAATCTTGAGGTATTGGAGATGATGGTATCGAATTATTTACCGTTAATTCCCTTATGGAGTGGAATGATGTTACAGGACGAAACACGGGAGAACAACGCGCCAGTGGAGAGTTGGATGGGCGTGCTGAAGAACAGTGTCATCCAGGAAGAGCGGTCTTTAAGACTTGCAAAGTTCGTATGGATGATAGGTCCAGTGCTTAAAGGTCGTCTGAGAAAGCACCAACAGCACCAAAAGACTGAGCCTCCACGAAAGAAGGCCAAATTTGACAGTGATGAGGCAGACAGGGCTGAAGAGGGATGGAGACCAAAGCGGGGACGAACAGTTAAAACGAAAGAACAGACAGGTGTTTATTATGAAACCAAGGACCTACCTAAACCTAAAGGAACTACAAACAGAGTCAATGTGAAAGAAAAAAAGAAGACTCAGTCAAAAAATCCTCGGTTTCAAAAAAAACGCGTTGTCCCTGGAATAGTAAATGTAAGAAACACATGCTGGCTGAACTCAGCGTTACAGTGTTTGGCATCTCTACCAGGATTTATGTTGGAAGGTAAACAAATATTTTTCTTACTATTCTTATTTCTCTTTCATTCAATACTCTTAAAACCTTTATTATCATAATAAATGCCTTGTCTCTGTCAATTTCAGATATTGACGCCTACCATACATATGCGTTTTGTGTTTGCTTCACGAAATGAAAATATTAATGTTTTCACTGTTTGATTTCATAGAAAATATCCTATATTTATTAAATTTTGAAATGATCCATACAAGAATAATAGGCTCAAATATTACGCTAATGTTACATCTATAACCTTCATCTTCCAGATCACCACCCTTTGCCAAGTACTGTTCAAGATGTTCTTGTTATGATAAGAACGGCAACATTCAGTGGATTAGATAGAATAAACCCTGAAGACCTCAGAGTAAGACATATTTGGAATTATCATCAACAGTACTGCATAGTCATACCTACAGTTTCCTATTCAACATTAAGGCGTAACCTTTAAAAAACGGAGAAATTTGTTTTCAAATATAATTTATTTTTAGCTCGGCTATTCAAAGAAAATATTATTATTCGAGCATAATTGTGTACTCACCTTGCCCCTTGATTTTATAATTTTTTTCATGTTCAACTCAATTCTGTGCTCAAACTTGAAATGTATAAAACATTAACAGTCATCTTAAATAAGAAATAACTGAATGAAGTCATCAAATTTTCGTGCTGAAATTGAGTCGAGCATGAAATAATTTTTTTTATCACAGGGCTTCGTTTTGCGTGCAAGCACAATCCCTGGTATAACCTCAAACATAATTGAGATATTGACCTGAAACTTAACATATATCTTCAGGATTATTAAATAATATCAAATGGTCAAGGCCCATAATTCTGTATAACTGCCTTTTGCCAGAATTATGCCAGATTATAGTTATGTATGCAAAATGCTATCTGCAAAACTAAAACATCTATCACTTTCATAGTCACACAAATAACCGATAAGAAAATACAAGCAGAAATCATCAAGGCCAACTCTAATTAGCATTTTGACAGAATAATGCCTCCTTTTGGAGTTAAAAAATATACATTAAAGTTTTGCATGCAAAATGATATCTTTATAAATTGTCAGATGTCAAATTTAAACTGTACTGTACACACATTTCTGAATTGAAAGTCTAAGCTCATATCATCTAGACCTATAACTGTAACAGCATTTTGACTAAATTATATCCCCTTTTTAGTTTTACACATAGACAATGTACATTAATGTTTTACATAAAATAAGAAAGGTATTGCCTACAACAATTATTCGAGATGAAATCCAAGCTCGTGTCATAAAGGCACATCTCTAATTTGCATTTTGATAAGGATATGCCCCCTTTTGAAAAAAGAGAATCCAAATGAAAGTTTTGCATGCAGAATTTTTCTCCAAAACTCGGATATCACTGAAAAATTTCATATAAATATTCAAGATGATGATCCAACCTTATTTCACCAAAACAAAGAACTCTGTTTTGCATTTACCGAATTATACCCCTGTTTGTACTTTGAATACCAAGTTTATAATTTGTAATGGCAGTGTCTGAATTTCTTACCATACATTTTATGTGTGTCAAATTGTATGTTATTGCGACACTACTTCGAATAGCCGAGCTTTGCTGTCTTACTGATAGCCCTTGTTAAACACAATGGTCAAACATAACTCATTAAGAGACTTCTTATGGTAAGGCATAATATTCGAGACCAAGGCAAGTTAAATACAACATTTAACCTTTTTCGGCAAGTTGGATATTTCTCGATTTCTAAAAAGAGCATTGGCATGGAAGTTAACACAATGAATAATAAACAGGTCATGACTTCGACAAGTTACATAACTCTGGCTAGCTTATTTCTTCGTTTATCTTCCCATTTTGTACTTGAGAAATGGTTAACATGTTTCAGCAAGTTGGATAATTCTCAATTTAAATCAAGTGTCTCTAGTAAATGCCAACCGCACAATATTTGCATCACCAGTGTTTCTACTAAATGCCTAGGCAAATTCATAGTCATTTATTAAATTAAATACTAAAAATGTTGCAATTTTGTCTTGAATAATCTGTACTTAATAATATTAGATCATAGGTTAATTTACTTGATTTGTATGCAGGTTCTGACACCAGAAAGTTATTTCCATTATTTAGAACTTAAACATTTAATTTAAGTTGCTGTTTTAACACTGTGCTGTCATTTTAAATTTGTATCATCATAAATTTCGCTACTTGGATGGGGGGGGGGGCATATGTGTTTTCCGAACAGAGCTTCTTCTTTTAAAAAGATAAGACATGTTCATGATTACACATGACCGTTAGAACAGTATTTCATAGTTGGCAAGGTTTTTCCTGAATACTTGGCTAAGTATTTTAATGAAATGTATGTATTTTTGATAGGACATAATAGAGACGGAGCTTCCAGACATGCCACTTGGTGAAGAACATGACTCAGTCCACTTTATATCAGAAGTGATGCAGAAAAACACACCTTCAAAGACTGGCTTTGAATTTAAGATACAGTCAACACGTATATGTTACCGTTGTAATCGGGTAAGCAAGTCATACTCTTTCCTTTTCAGGCAAATATTGCACACGTTATCACATAAATTAATTGATAGTCGAAATTATTTTTGCATATTACACTTATTTGACATTTCTTTAAAAAGATTCGTCTTGATATTAGTTTTCCGTTTTGAAGATGCCTTTCTCTTATATTATAATTCCAGTATGTCAGTTAAACTACGTCAAGCCCAATATTTATTTTAGAATCAAAGGTGTAGCACATAAACTAAGTATATAGTGTAAAGTTATGTTCATATACTATGTCTAGGAGTAACAAATTTATACTTGGAACAATAATATATATAATCTAAATACTGTGAAACTGCAAATGATTTCGCGCGATTAATGTTAGCATTTTTAGCGGCCCATATCAATCTGCGAACTGAAATGTCTGCGATATCGTTTTCACTTCTGTATCAACGCGGGCGTTTATGTAATAAAACTTATAAGTTGTTTCATATATAAGTTTGTATTCGTTAGATAAATTATTTAAGGAATAATTCATATGTTCAGAATAAGGGACAGGCAGAATTTCGGATGCCTAGTTATTAAATTACTAGTATCCGAACCCATTTTTCACTGCTTTTGATTTTACAGTGATTAGGTGTGGAACTATATTATAGCGTCGTAACGCCAAGCGGTACAAAGGCTGTTACCGAATTCCTCACAAGTTTATAATCATAGTAATGTTTTAATTTTTCAATATTCTGATATTCTAAACTGCTGTCATTTGTTTCTTTACTTTCAAATTGTTTTGGAGCAATTAAATAAAAAGAACTTGAAAATAATGACATCTATAGTTTTTCAGCCGCACGCTTTTCTCATGCACTGCATATTATCATTGGGACATCGCATGCCACGAAATTACGACACTATTGTTTTACATAGTCGAAACGACGTTTTAACTTAATACTAGAGGGGGCTTTATAACAATCAACTGAAGCTACTATAAATTCATCGTAGAATAATGTATCGTACGTTTCCTGTATGTTTACACTGAACATGTTGCGAGATGTTTTAGAATAATTATTATTTAATGAAAAACACCGTTATTGGACATTAGCTTTTGAATAGCAAAGGACTTACATAGCACTGTGACTTATTGATCGCGGATTTCACGACATAATGAAAAACGCGAACCTAAAAATGCGGTCCGTCGATAAAACGCAACCATTTGTTTACTCGAACTTTAGTTGGATTACAGTACCTGAATTATCATTCTGAAGTCTTTTCTGGTCTATTTCACAGCCAAGGATTTCTTCAGAGGATGCGAACATACTTACTCTTGAAATACCACGGAGAGAAATTAGAGACTACCCTTCCATAGTTGACTGTCTCAGAGAGTTCGAGAAAGAGGAAGGTCTTACGTTGGAAAATGACAATGCCCCGTAAATATCATTCTTATTATTTCCATCCTTCGTATCATATAATTATACGTCCAACATGGACGACTGGCTTCAAATCTTGCAAAGTGCTGCGAACTCTCTAGCAGCCTGAGTAAGGGTATGATATTGAACTTCTAAAAATGTAAGTTGATTCTTCTAGTGTTTTTGGTAAAAGGAGGCATTTGGGCATTTTAAATGCGCAAGGGATATACTCATAAATGAAATATAAATAAACGCATTGCCCATAAATTAAACCCTTTCGCTGCGAGAGGGTTATTTTTTTATTTCATGCTTTCCAGTGTTTTATTGTAATATATCAGATGATTATATTCTGATTAACCACTAGTGAACTTTATAAAATATAATTTTCACTGTAGCCGGACTATATCTGAATGGGGATGAAAAGAAAATCATAACTAAATGAAATAACAAGCAGAAATAATTGCCGTCATGCGTAAATTTTGCTTCTTTAGGAAAAGAAAGTCGATTTCATCATACATCATGTAAAAATGTAACAAAATTAGAGAAAATTAACGGAACTTTATTTCAAAATTGATGATGTGACGTCATGATATGAGCCGCGTCACGACAAAACCAACATAATGGGTTTGCGACCAGCATGGATCCAGACCAGCCTGCGCATCCGCGCAGTCTGATCAGGATCCATGCTGTTCGCTTACCAACTCTATAACAAGTAGAGAAACTGATAGCGAACAGCATGGATCCTGATCAGACTGCGGAGATGCGCAGGCTGGTCTGGATCCATGCTGGTCGCAAACCCATTATGTTGGTTTTGTCATGACACGGCTCATATTATGACGTCACATAGGAGAATGCGTGATGTTACGCGGCAAAATCATTAAAAATATACTTAAAATCCCTTAAAAAGCATGAAATAAAAAGAAAATTTGTTTTACATATAACATTGAAATATATTTCATTCGTGAACACCAGCTATTATATTTTCACTCGTGGCTACGCCACTCGTGAAAATATTGCATCTGGTGTTCACTCAGTGAAATTATATTTCAATCTTACATGCTAAACAAACAAATATCCTCTATATTGATCACCTATTTGCCAGAGGGTTTTCTAAGAAATTACTACATGTATATTATTTAGGAAATAGATATCAATTCGAGTGCATTGTTGTAGAATAATGCACGGTTTGAGTTCAAATGCGTAGTAATATAATCATGAAAGGCCGATTAATTACAAAGCATTTGAACGAAAAACGTGCATTATTATACAATAATGCACAAAGAATTAATATCTGTTTCCATTCTAACACGTCAAGAAAAAATATAATTAATACTATAAAGCCGGACTTTATGTTTAGTGTTTAAATTTGTTTTCCCCTCAGAGTTTCCAATAGAAACGTTCTTTAAAGGCTGGTATGAAAAAAACTGTCGTTAAATCTTCCGTGTGTAGAAACATTTTGAGAATAACGCATTTTGAAAACGTTGATAAAACTTTGTTTGTTTATTTTATTTCACTCTATAATTTTTCAAGCGAAATAAAAATTATTAAGATAACGTATTGTTTGATTATACGGTCAATGCACAGAATATGTTAATTTTCGATAAATGTTCGGTAAATTCCGTAAGAGGTACGCAGTAAGGTGTGATTAAATTAATCTAGTTTCTGTGTATTAGTTACACTGACCGTTATAGCGCAATAAGTTAAACCACGGGTATATATTAGCTAAATGTCCTATATGTTGGAAGATCGAGACAGATTGTTCCAAGTTTTTTTTCCTTATTCATTACTTATTTCAATATTTTTGAAGTTATGGTTGTTCTGTTTTTAATATGTTTTGCACTTTTTTGTGAATACTATACATTTGTATATAACATTGTTTAAGAAATAATACTGAAAATTCATTCGGATTAAATCAGTAAATGTAATTTCAGTGTCGTAAAAATACAATACAAAATTTGACAATTCAGTGTTTCTTAGTTGTTTCATATCCGTGTAGACAATTTTGCAATTGCTTGACCATTTACATTAAATATACTTAAAATGAAAAAAGAATAAGTCTGAAAAACAATGTCAAAAGGAGGAATCAAACCTCGGACCTCTCATGCATTAGGTAATCACTTAACCAACTATGCTATTGCGGATGTTACGAAAAGCTCAATTAAGCTAGTGGGAGTTTTCCAAACGTTAGTTATATACTCCATATTAATTCTCGTAATGTAAACGGAAAAAAACCGAAGTGGGATCGAATATTTAAATGAGTGCTATTATGTATTCATAATTGACAGGTCAATAAAATCAGACTATACTTGACTTGATTGTTTTGCACGTGCACGTTTGGCGCTACATGTGACGTCACGTAAACAATGCTTTAAACGTCTGTACAGCGTAAACGACTGAATAAAAGATATTGGTGTTCGGATTCATTTTCTTAGTTAGACCATTTTCTTTCATTGATTCTAGATAGTTTTTACAACAAAATTCGACAAAAAATTGTTTTTATTTATCAGATTTTTCAAACAAAATGGCGCCTGCAATTTGAAAATACACAGGGAGATAAAAAGAACGGCGAGTGCATTGTTGTAGAATAATGCACGCTTCGGGCCTTCTTTGTTTATATTGAAAAAAAAAACCGAAAGTGTTAGAATAATTAATATAATTTTATAACATGCTTTTCGATGGTTTATAGAAATATATCAGTTATTTAAAACTGATAATTTCACTGTTTGAAACAGTAAAATTATCAATTTGATAATTCCACTGTTTGAATTTAAGCCCCTTACGTTGTTTCAGTGAAATACCAGCGTACACAGAACTGGAAACCAACTTAATAACGTGACGTCGTACATGACGTCACGTTGTATAATTATTTGGCGCGCTATTCATTTATTATTAGGTAAAAATGGCCTTTTTAACGTTTGATTGCATATAATAAAAAGAAAATTTGTTTTGTTTAGTGTAAGATCGAAATATATTTCACCTCGTGAACACCAAAAGTTCACATTTCACTCGTGGCTGCGCCACTCGTGAAATATACCTTTTGGTGCTCACTCGGTGAAATATTTAGAGGATATTGAATGAGTGTAAGATCAATACTGAATTTATTGCACGAGTTGAATAAAATTATACGGCCGTGCAATACCATATTTACGGAGTCGCAAAATAGGTGTGTGATAAATTCCGATCTTACACTGAACTTAACAAATATCCTCTATATAATTATTTGTTATTAGCATTATAATAATTATATATGTTTCCAAAGCTGTGAGTATAATAATAATTATTGTCGATGGTATAATTTTCTTTATTTTTTTTTATTATTATCATAATTAATTCATTATTATTGCTATTATTATTGCTATTATGATTAAAGAAACGTCTAAAGCCGTAAATAACAGGGACGGCATAAGCCGTCCCCATGGCAGTGAAAGTGTTAAAGTAGATTTCTTGAAAATTTTTGCATTGACCATTTTTGTTCATTTTTGATACGAGATATTAAGGTGTATGGAGAAATATTATATAAGTGTGTGTACTAGATGTATCATCTCAGCTGCATTTACGACTACTGATCAGTTATATCATTCAGGAGATGTGACAGTTGTGAAATGAATACCAACACAGGCTTATCACTCAAAGTAATTCATGTCAGAAAAGGCCTTTTCATCCAACTGAAACGATATTTCGCTAATACTACAGACAGTGGTCGTGTAAAAATAAGAAAAGACTCAAACCCTGTGCGCTTAAATAGGTATTTCAAAAATATATATTGATTTGCTATAGACTTGATAAATATGAGAATTATCTTTTTATGTTATTATTCTCTGGGCACATAAGAAAATGTTATAGACTGAGATTATATTGGTCTCCCATTGCAAGTTAATATCAAATATATACAATATATTGTTTTTCAAGAATTTTTTTCATTTGATGCCATTTGTAGCTCGACTATACGAAGTTTATGGAGAGCTGTCCTACTCGCCCTGGCGTCTGCGTCCGCGTCCAGATTTCAGATTAAAGTTTTGGTGCAGTAAAATATTTTTTACTATAACTTTGTCATTACTTAAGGTATAAACTTCAAATATATGTTCCTTATCATCAACCACATCTTATGTGACAAGGTTCATAACTCTAGCACCAATATTTACAGATTTATCTCCCCTTGAACTTAAAATTTTCTTAAAAAAATATTATTTTTTACTGTTACCCCTTTATTTCTTAAGGGATCAACTTCATACTTCAAATATATGTACCTTATCACCATCCACATCTTATGTGACAAGATTCATAACTCTAGCACCTATATTGCAAGAATTATCTCCCCATAAACTTAGATTTTTTTACTAGAAAAATGTTATTTTTTACTATAACTTTTTTTTAGTTTTAAAGGTATCTACCTCAAACTTCAAATACTTATTCCTTGTCATCAATTACATTCTATGTGACAATGTTCATAACTCTTGAAGCAATATTTACAGATTTATCTCTCTTTGAACTAAGGATTTTCTTTAAGAAATATTATAACTTCTTTACTTTTTAAAACTTCAAATATATATTTCTTATCATTACACACATGTGTGACATTTAATCATCAGTCACTTGAAAAAGTGAACTCTTATAAGGGGGGATTTTGTTTGAACCTTTGATATGCTTTGTTATTCAGATTTGTTACTATAAGTGGTGTTGGATTTTATCGGCTCTATGCTGTTCTCGTAAGTACTTTGCTTTTTCTATTTTATTCAGTTGGTTTTTATGTAAGCACAAGGTCAGAGACTACTAATTGTAAGCGTCCCGGCGATTAGACCAAAATGTACAGGGACAAGTAAGACTATTAGGGTACGTTAATGATACGTTAAGGATACGTTCGCTGATTGGAGAAAATATATGGAACTTCTCAAAATGAAATTGAAAATTATTTTTGATTAATCAACATAATTTTTGCATTAATTTGGAATCGTCTATGTTAAATACCTGTTGCACGTTTGGGATTGGAAAAGGAAGAATGTTTTCATTATTCCTGCACTTCTTTTGGAACTGGATTGGGGTGGGTGTCTTCAGTGGCAATAAAGCGGGGTAAAATGCTGGATTTTCCAATTTGAAAATAATTGTTTAATTTCTCCAAGACTGAAATACTAGAAAACGCTTGCTAGTGTATTCAACGACATTCAGGGGAGTCGCCAAATGATCAGAGGCTATAATGGAAGCCTATAAAAATTAATTAGTGTTCTCTGACCACAACACATTTAATAAGTTCTATATGTAACTTGGTTGCATGTTTATTTCATAAATTAACAGAGTAACTCCCTTGAAGCATTTTAGGCTATATTTAAAAAGAATTAAATTGTTGCACAATTTTATTCCCAATGTGTAAGACAAACAAGAAGCTAATATTGATTTGATTTAAACAAAATGTGCTAATAACACAGTTATAACATTTTTACGCGTATTATTTGATCACTCCTCGTGTATATATAAAATTATCGACGTTTTTCCACGACACTTGGTACATTAAGGTTGGATAATGTGTTTAACTGTCTAAGTAAGATAATTGTGAAATGAAGATGTGCACACTTTTCTCCAAAATTATGAACTAGAAAATTCAATATTGCTTATTTTAAGATTATAAGAACGAAAGGGAGACCGATACAAGCGGGTTCTCCATAGTATATATATGTTTATTCCTGTCTTTACTATGTTTTGTTGTCATTTTCGTGTGTCATATCGTAATGTCGCGCGCCGTGCTGTCATCGAGTAGGCGGTATGCGACAATGCAATACGACATCGCGACAATGTCGTTGGGATTGTCGTGTGTTGTATCGCAATGTCGCGCATCGTATCGCAATGTCACGTGTCGTATGGCCTTGTCACGCGTGGCCCGTTGTTTAGTTGCAAGGCCTGACACGCGAACATGCGATACGACATCGCGACATTGCCATTCAAAAAAGCGACAATACAATACGACGTGCGACATTGCGATACGACATCGCAACATATCGCGCCAAAGTTTTCATTTGGATGCACAACAATGCGATACGACATCCCGACATTTTACCAAATGTCGTAGCGCAACATTTGGGTCGCTACCATGAAGGTCAAGTTTACAGCATGACCTTGTAACAAAGGCGTGTTCGGCCCATAACTTTGTTATTTGAAGTTGGATTTTAAAATTATTTCACAGAAATGATCACCATATTGAGACGACTAGTCGAGTGCAACATTTGGGTTGCATCCCATAGGTTCAACATCACAGCATGACCTTGTAGCAAAATCGTGTCCGGCCCTTAATTTTGTAATTTGAAGTTGGATTTTAAAATTATTTCACAAAAATAATCATCATATTTAGATGACGTGTCGTGCGCAACATTTGTGTCACTTCCTTCAAGGTCCCAGCATGACATTATTGTCACATGTTATGTTTATTGTTTCCAGTTGGTAACTTAAAAAGTATTCAAGGCACAGATTTGAAAATAAGATAGATTTTGGTAGAACGCTGCACAACTTTTGAATTATTAACCTTTTAAGCTCACCTGAGCACAAAGTGCTCAAGGGTGAGCTTTTGTTATCACACTGCGTCCGTCGTGCGTCCGTGCGTCGTGCGTTCTTCAAAAAATGGCGTCAAACTTTTCAAACGACATCTCCTCCTAAACCACATGGCCAATTGCAACCAAACTTTACAGAAATGATTTTTAGGTGGACCCCTTTCAAATTTGTTCAAAAATTTAAATTCCATTAAAAACTCTGGTTGCCATGGCAACCAAAAGGAAAAACTTTAAAAAGAATCTTAAAAAAATCCTAAGAGCTAGAGTTTAGATATATTTGGCATGAAACATCTTCTAATGAGTGTCCACCAAGTTTGTTCAAATCAAATCCCTGGGGTCAAAATTGGCCCCGCCCCAGAGGGTCATTGATTTTCCCTATATGCATATAGTAAAAACTTAAAAAATCTTCTTTTAAATAACTCAAAGAGCTAGAGCTAAGATATTTAGCATGAAACATGTTTTAATGGGTGTCTACCAAGTTTGTTCAAATAAAAGCCCTGGGGTCAAAATTGGCCCCGCCCCGGGGTACATAGCTATTCCTTATATGTGTATAGCAAAAAACTTAAAAAATCTTCTTTGAAAAAACCCAAATAGCTAGAGTTTAGATATTAAGCAAGAAACATCTTCTAGTGAGTGTCTACAAAGTTTGTTCAAATAAAAGCCCTAGGGTCAAAATTGGTCCCGCCCCGGGGGGGTCATTGATTTTCCCTATATGCATATAGTAAAAACATAAAAAAAATCTTCTTTTAAAGAACTCAAAGAGCTAGAGCTAAGATATTAAGCATTAAACATGTTCTAATGGGTGTCTACCAAGTTTGTTCAAATAAAAGCCCTGGGGTCAAAATTGGCCCCGCCCCGGGGGTCATTGAATTTCCTTATATGTGTATAGCAAAAACTTCAAAAAAAAATTTGAAAAAAAAAACAAACAAATAGCTAAGGTTTAGATATTAAGCATGAAACATCTTGTAGTGAGTGTCTACCAAGTTTGGGTCAAAATTGGCCCCGCCCCGGGGGACATTGATTTTCCATATATGTGTATAGCAAAAACTTTAAAATCTTCTTTGAAAAAACCCGAATAGCTAGAGTTTAGATATTAAGCATGAAACATTTGCTAGTAAGTGTCTACAAAGATTGTTCAAATAAAAGCCCTGGGGTCAAAACTGGCCGTGCCCCAGGTGTGGCATTGTTTGTAACTATATGTGTAAAAAAAAACTTGAAAAAATCTTCTTTTAGAAAATCCAACGAGCTAGACCTTAGATGTTCAGCATGAAACATATAGGTGTCTACCAAGTTTGTTCAAATAAAAGCCCTGGGGTTTAAACTGGCCCCACTCCAGGGGCCTATATACAGGTGAGCGACTTCAGGGCCATCATGGCCCTCTTGTTGTACTATTCGGCTCTGATCTTAGAATAGTCGATCACACAAAATCGGTTCTTGTAATAGTAATTATTAACCGTATTTAGTGTTTGTATTTTATAAAATAAAATGTTGCTGTAAACATTCTTACTTTATATGCTTCTTAGTGTCATATGGGGTCTAACATTCGATCAGGGCACTGTAGGTACATTTTAAATCATTGGTTATTTGAGTTAAGTTATCAGTCTTTATAACCTGTTCTCTTTAACTGAGCCTCGCAACCGGTTTGACATTTTTAATCCTTATTATTATTTTAGAGCTACGGGATAAGCAGAATTATTATTTTAGAGCTACGGGATAAGCAGAACTGAAGTGAGATTTCTGGGTTCTTCTTGCATTTTTGGTGAAATAAGGTTATAAAGTCTGATTAAAGTTCATTAGCTACAGTTTGTCAACCAGTTCCGGCTATAAACCAGTTCCAGTTAACTTTAATATTTCCTATTCAATGTTAGAAATAGCTCAGTACAACGAGTGAAAATACTAATTTAGTCGCATTTAGGCCCGAAAACGAAGCAAAAAACGTTATTTGCAGTATTGTGTTATATCATTGCTCCATCATGGCAAGCAAGATCGTCTGCATTAATATTATCATTCTTTTTGTTCGGTTTTTGAGAAGCATGCGTTTGAACCAATTCCGGATCAGTGATTCAGAATTAGTAAACATTGTGGATTCCAGTTTTGGAATTCTTTACAAAGGAAAGTAACTTGGAATAGTTACTGAGGAAAAGATTCACTTAAAGCTAAAGGATGTGGCTGATTTACATACTAGTCATGTCTCAAGGTTGTTGGCAAAATACTTGATAGATATTCTAAACAATGATGGTATAGCGTTCTCAGAAGTTAATTGGTCAACAGAACCTAGCTACCCACCATGGCCAACTCAACACAAAGAAGGGGCAATGGTCTGCTAACAAGTGATTATATCATTTCTATCCCATGAAATGATGGCTTGAATGTTAAATCAGATGAACGCAATGAAGACTCTGGAAAAGAACTTGTGATATCATGAGTGCTTAATTGCTTTTGTTAATACTGAAATAAATATAAATAACTTGCGACATAACACTTATGCGTTATTTTTGTTATTTCATATTATTTTCAGAAATATTTTTCACCCTTAGACAGAAAGCTTGTAAAAACGTATTAGGTCTGTCAAATCCAGTATACAGCTGTCAGATTAGACAGTCAAAATTCTCTTTAAGACATGTCTACCAATCTTTAACCGGAACAGTTTGTATTAACCTGAACTGGTTTAAATCTGTCAATAAATGTCTCATATGTAAAAGTTAACAAATACAAGATTAAAAAGACTAAAAAAAACTTCAGCATATTTCCGGTAAGGTATTTTACTTATTATCAGACATCAAACAAAGTTCAGGATAATGCTTTTAGTATATATTTTTTACAACAAATATATCAATTAACCGGAACTGTTTGACAAACTGTACTTGCATCTTTGAAAAGTTAATTAGCAATGTTCTGTTGAATGTTTATCCTTTTATCTTATACCTTTTATACTAACACACTATTATTCACAAATAACTTGTAAGTCGTAATATGAAAATCTTTTGAATTAATTAACAAAGTGAAATTTAATACAAATAAAAATAATGATCTAGCTATTTGATGAATTATAACATTAAAATTTTATATTAATTTGCCATTTAAGAATATCAAAATTCGTGTTTTTTTTCTTCAAGGGCAAACCTTTTTTCAAATCTTTGAAGAAAGTGATCAATAAGATGCTTATTATTTCATTTCAAGTGTTTACATCAGTTAAAAACTTACTTTTTTAAGATTTAGTGTTTACCTTGGACAACGATTGGCAAGTTCGCAAGTGCAATGATACTAGTATTGAAGAGGTAGACTCCAGTGTTCTTGGGAAAAAGATTGTAGGAAAGGGGAAAACTACTAATCTGAAAAATTGAAAAAAAAATGTTTTTCATTTACCCTTAAAAACTTAGTCGTAATTTTTGTCTATGTAAAAAACGAGTAACCTTTTCAGTCATAATCTTGTTATAGGCAAATGACTTGACTTAAAGATGATTTATGTAGTTTTTCGACAAAAACAACAAAAAAGGTTTCCCATACAGCTATGGTGCCAATATTATGTAAGTAAAAGTTGAAAATATGACACATTGGCTTAATTGGGTGATTCTCATCCCACTCACAGAATTTGTTATCCCCCCCCAAGGGAGACAATATAGTTGTCGAACCGTCTGTCCGTCCGTCTGTCCAATATTTAGTGTCCGCTCAAAAACTCCGTCATTTCTGCATGGATTTTAAATAACTTGGTATATTTGTCATACCATGAAGAAGACGTGACGGGCACAAGAGCTATGTCAGTTGCTTGAAAGCCTTAAGTTAACACTTATCTCAAAGTCACAGGAGCTAAAAATAGATTCTCAAAGTAACACAATTTCCTTTACTGGATATGATTTATTGTGCATATGTCTGTTCACAATATTTCTTGTTTTCAGAATAATTGCTACTTTCTGTGTTATGAAGAAGTCACTCGTACTTGTGTAAATAAATTACTGAAGAAAGAACAGAAAAACAAGAAAGACAAGAAAAGACCGTTAACATCCACTGACGTGATATCTAAGTGCGGAGCAATAACAATTAATGCAAGTGACATAGGCACTTGCAATGATTATGTTTGGGTAAACGACCAGGTACTTCAGTATTAAATCATTTTGGCATGTTGACGCCTTTGTGCATGGATGCATATTAAATATTTGGTCCTAGTTTCAGGGTTTTCGAACATCAAACTCTACTCTCGTCACAAAAATGTACAATGGATAATCGTAGGAATCTCCAGGGCAAAGCGTTTGGGAGTGATTTTAATGCAAGTTGAACTCGCATATGAAAGCAATTTAACGCAACCGTCTTTACAAATGTCATTTAAACAGAGACTCAAAAAATAAGAATTTTCTTTAAAGGGAAAGGAAAATTCCATCAGTATTTTTCTATTGGGGTGGTTCATAATACTAAATCATATACTTGGATAGTCACTTCAACATCATACAATAAATGTATAGTAGTTTACATTTTAAAAATTTCTTTTGTGGTTTAAAACAATCTCATTCTAATTGTATCTTTCAGATTATAAATGCTTACTTGTCGCTCATCACCAAGGCTAATCCTCTTATTGCGGCTTTGGATGCATTCTTCTTTGTTGATGTGGTAATGGAGAAAGATCTTAGCAGATGGTTGAAGCCAGAGCTTTTCGATAAAAATATGCTTTTCATTCCTGCCATCTACAGAAATCATTGGAGACTTGTGGTAATAGTCATCTGTCTAATGTATTACACTTTTCTTCTTAAGGCCGCTTGTCAATGATTAAATATAAACATTCATTATGATGGTAAATACTAATAGAATAATGAACTATTTTAAGTTACATTTTAATAAAATAATTACTTTCTTTCACATAAAATGTGATTTTCAAAGTTATGTTTCTCGCTCATTTTAAGCAATATTATGTTAAAAATTCACAAAATATTGCTTAAAACTACATTGTGATATAATTTTGTAGGTGATCATTTTGTATGTCAATAGATCTCGATGGGTAGATGTGCAGTGCACAAATTTTGCCTAATTTTGGGGTTATTGCGTTTTCTTTATTAAAACACTTTGAACTTTGTCGGGAAAATAAGTCTAAAACTATAAGAGATATGAACATGAAAATTTGTAGGTAAATAGATCTTAATGGCTGGATGTGCAGTGCACAAGAACCATAACTCTTTTTTGCCTAATTTTGGAGTTATTGCCCTTTGTTAATTCTAACACTTTGAACTTTGTCCCGAGCATAACTCTAAAATTACATGAGATATCAACATGAAACTTTCTTGGTAGATAGATCTCATTGATTAAAACTGCAGTACAAAAAAAACATAACTAGGTTTTGTCCAATTTTTGAATTATCTCCCCTTTTAAAAAAAATCTTGTCCGGTAATTAACTCTTAAACTACAAGAGATATCAACATGAAACTTTGTAGGTAGGTGGATCTCAATGGGTAGATGTGCAGTGCAAAAGAACTTGAACTCCGCCTTGCCAAATTTTGTACTTATTGCCGTTTGTTCATTTTTTTTTTTCATTTTGAACCTGCCCGGGACATAACTCGGAAACCATAAGAGGTATCAACAAGAAAATTTGTAGGTTGATTGATCGCATTGATTAAAAGTGCAATGCAAAGAACAGTTACTCTGTCATGCCTAATTTTGGAACTATTGCACTTTGAACTTTTTCCAGGGACATAACACTGAAACTACAAGAGGTGTACTTTCCTGTCTCAAAAACCTATTCGGGGAGCATCACCCGGCTCAAACCGGGCTCTTGTTTAACATCTTTATCATCGGAAAATTGGAAGCAACAAATACAAATACTTGGCTCAAAGAATTTGACTTGATTTCTCTGTACAATTACATAACTGATAAATTTTAAGCGTCAAGAAAAAACAACTAATAAATTTCGTGTCCTCCTATTATCAGCAAAACCAAAAACAACAGTGAGAGGGTGGGTAAGAATGGTCAAGTGCCAGTGGACAACATGAATTTTTATCAGAGCACAAGTTTATAATTTTTTTTTCTGTAAATTATAAATACCAAAAGCAGTGCACTTGTATTGATCATTTCATGTTTTATTTGCCATTTTTCATATGTCTCACAAACCAAATCAGTAAAAGGAACACTTACCTTATTTATTCATGCAAAAATATTAAATGCGACAGTTATTTATTTATCTTGTTTCATTGTATCTTTTTAGAAAACAAAAATCAAAGATGCATAGTTTTCTTGCAAAGTCTCTGTTAAATAAAGGTTTGCAGAGGCTTTAAATAGAATCATTTTTCATCAAATGCTATTTCACACAAAGAAGACCCATGCCCCTTCAGGATTTTGAGGAAAAAAACAATCTATACTGTTTATTGCGCATGCGTGCAAAACATTACGAATCTTGAAAAATAGACATCTAAATAAATAATTACAGCATTTTACAGAAAATTTGCTTTTTAAATAAAATTAACTATTATTTTCATAATATTTTAGATAAGTGTCCCCCTTACTCATTTGATTTGTAAGAGGTATTTACAAATTATAAAATCGGGACAAATAAACACTTTCAAGTTGCATGCATTTTGTCACTTAAAATTGAAAGTAAATTTTATAGTAGCTCGTCTGTTAATGTTCAGTCCACCGGCATTTGACCAGCCATACCCATCCCTTCTTCTTTGTTCTTTTGATAATAAGGAAAAAGACGTACATGTATTTCGACATCGCTTTATTGTATAAAGTTATGAAAGATTATGGCCGCATGCACTTCACCAGCCTTACCTAACCCCCATCTACATTCTTTAATATGAAAACACGTAATTCACTTGTTGTTGTATTTTCCTTACGCTCTTAATTAGTATCTAATTACGAGTATCTAATTCTACAGAAAATCATGTAATTTTCTTGAAGGCGGGTCTTTTATTTGTCGCTTTATATTTGCCAACGGGCAAGATGTTGAAAAAGACGAGTCGATTATTTTCATGTGTTATAAAGAGACAACTCGCATACTTTTGGACGCACTATTTCATGATTAATTTGAAATGATTTTTTTGGAATTTGTTCATGCAGATAATCTCATTCTAGTATTAAGTTATGAGGACAAGTACTTTAAAAGTTATATGACGCATTAAGTTTCATACAAAATACATTTGTAAGGGGCATAACTCCAAAAATAGTAAAACAGGAGTTATCATTCTGTTGTCACAAATGGCTCTATTTATGGAAATGATACATTCCAAGTATTTAGTTAAAAGGACAAATACTTTTAAAGTTATAAGAAATAATAATTGGTACATGTACAATTAATTTCTAGGTCCTTCTGCTCTGCTCTTAAAAGATGATTAAATTGAAAAGAAACCTTTTGGTTTTGCTGAGCTTAAATTACCAGTAAAGTTTAACAATTTGTACGGGGATATAATAACAATTAGTACACTACTCAAAAGTTCTAAGTGCACACTTGATAAATGTTGTTTTTGCTAACAATTTGATTAAATCATTCGAGTTTAAAGTTTAATTAATTTTAAATAATTTTAGTTTTAGATTATTGATAAGTGGACACCAATATTTTTGTGTTTACGTTCATTTACGTAAAGCTTGGTTCACACTGTCCCAGTATACAGCCCCAGTGCGTCACGGTTTTGATATCGGAGCCAACCAAGACCACAACTGGAGGGACGCCGGGAAGAACCGCATTGAATCGGGATAAACCGTGTTGAAATGGCGATCACCGGGTAGTGGCACCGGTGGTGTTTAAAATTCTAATACAACCGGGACTCAACAGGACCAAAACCAATGCCGGCTTATTCCGGGGAGATCCGGTTCAGCACCGTAGCTCTCCCGGCTCACCACCGTATGACCACCAGGTGAAACCGTAGTAAACAAGCATGGGCTGTTCCAAGGTGGTTACGCAGACTTCCCGGTTTGGCCACGGTGTGCCACGGAGGAGAGCCGATGTAGCCCCGACTCGTGCCGGTCAAACTACGGTTGGCACGCTAGCACCCGGTAAATGCCGGTAAAATCACGGTGGAGCCACGATATGGACGCCGATTTCACTTCGGAAGCCATATTTAAACCATGCTTTTATATAAATGTCGAAACCGGGATCCACGGGGGCTATATACCGCGGCAATGAGAACTAGGATTCACAAATCTTCCCGGTTCCACACGGTCATCCCAGTCCACCGGCTACAAATTACCGGACGCATCGGAGCAAACACAGGGAAAGTGTGAAGCGGGCTTAAATATTTAATGACGTAAGAGCGTAACGTCAACATTCCCGTATGCTACGTTATCAATATAGAACGAAATATGCAAAAATGAGGCATTTCTTTTGCAATATGAATAACATCATACTGTTGTTTTTTTTATATTAAATGTGTGACAGTTGAGAGCATGTTGACATGGATGACATAATTCGTAAAACATACGCACGGTTTTCAAATAATTATTGTTTGGTCATATTTAACATAATATCAAAAGTTCTTTTAATTAGGATAATTTTATTTTGGGGTATTAAAAATTAAATTGTGTGTACTTAGAACTTTTGACCAGTGTAGACAGACACCCATAATCTATTTAATTCACATTAAAATTGTGAACTTGGAATGAGGGCCTCAGAAAAATAATGGCTGATTAATTCTACAATTTAATGTAGAAATGGGCTTACCTGTAAACAATTGGTCAAGAGCCACATTCACTGAGATATTCATCCCTGACCCCCTAATTGGTCAAAAGAAGTCAGAATATCTGCGTGAAGCTCAAAATGTCTAGACTGTTTAGGAGAATATATATATAATATATACATGCATGGTCGTTTGCCTTATTTTCTAACATCGGTATGAAACTCATCAGTAACGCGCTTCTAATACTTATAAAAATGATAAGTAAAAACTTAAGATGTAACTGTATTATAAAATAGGTTTAAAATATTTCCAGAACCTACCGCAACAGAAAAACATTTACGACTGTGGTATATTTGTGTGTATGTATGCCAAGCATGTCGCCTTGCATCGGAAGATAAACTTCACTGCAGTGAGTATTCTTATGTATAGAAACCAACAGAGATATACTGCATTCACTCTGTCTGTGTGTCCGTCTGTCTATCCGTTCTTTTTTATTTACGCTCATTTATACAAATGGATCTTTTCCAAACTTGGTCACATATTACGTGAATTTAATATCTAGGACAAGTTCGAAACTGTGTCCTATCCGGTCAAAAATCTATATCACTAGGTTACATCCTAGTTATATCATTACATCATTGTAATCTTAAGTTTATATCATGTATTTATAGATGGTTATTCCCAAAATTTGTTACAAGTTAAGCCGAGCCACGATTAAGGCACAGTTTTATACTAGGTTTTTGTCCGGTCAAAATCAAGGACACTATGTTAAATCTAAGTAAATAATCTCTGTGCAATCGCCCATGTATTTATGTTTAGGTATTCACCATTGGTAGTCAAAAGTTATACTCAAGATCACTTAACAGTCTAAACTTGTTCACGCTTCCTTAAAATCTAGGTTACTATGTCAACTTTTAGAAATGTCATTTCCGCGCCATAACTCCAGTTTAGCAAAAGGGGATAGAAATCAGTGATATATACTGTGCATAACAAGTGAATGATTTTTGGGACCTCGGTATGTAGGGGGTTTCCTTCAGAAAGAAAATTAAATAACACTTACAATTCGCTCCTACATAAACATGAGTAATTGTATGGAAATGACTTTTCAAAGGTTTGAATTGGTGATCTTGATTTTAACCAAACTGTGAACAGCTGTTCATGTAGTTAATTCTTTGTTGCTATTGTTTGCAATATTACAAAATAATGCAGTTATATAATTTATCGTACCCAAAATGTTCCTTTAATGAATTCCGTAATTTTGAAACTAAAAGGCCAAGTATTTTTTATTGTGTTGAAATGTTTATTTCAGGACGATATGCCAGATCTCCGAAAGCAAGTGGCGCTCGAAGTAATGGGAGAAAACCTTTTATAATCACAATCTATGAAAAGGGAACGAACGCGACACAATATGAAAATATTGCAGGTTCGGTTTTATGAGCCTGTTCATGTGCAGTAATGGAAATGCATATTACTGCCCACGCCGTTTAGCTTTGGGTTGAGCGCAACTCAATATTTACCAATAAATAGTAAGAACTACTGTGATACTAATTGTGTCAGTTAGAAGAGTTTCACATTACTTGTAATTAGATTAAGTTACATTAAGCTGAACCGAATAAAACATATTAAACATTACTGAATAAAACATTTGAATCTAAGCTGTAGGTGACGTCGATTTGAACTTTGTATTTTTGTTTCAAGAGCATGTATATTATGTCCTCTGAATTGCTTTGTTGATATGGGCAATTTATTACAGGAACATATCGGAATAATGTTTTAACCTTATTTGACATTGATTTTTGTAAGTCTAGTTTGCATATGGATTTTTTATGACTCCACGAAGTGGGAGGCATATAGAGTTGCACTCGTCCATATGTACGTCCGTCCTTCCGTCCGTCATTTTTGTCCGGAGCATATCTCAAAAAGTATTTAAGGTATCAACTTGAAACTTCATAGGTGGATAGATCAAAATGAGGAGGAGTGCAGTGCACAAGAATGATAACTCCACCCTGCATAATTTTTGAGTTATTGCCCTTTGTTATTTTTCAAACTTAATTTTTGTCCAGAGCATAACTCAAAAAGCCTTTGAGATATTAACATGAAACTTCATGGGTGGATAGATCTCACTCAGGAGGTGTGCAGTGCCCAAGAATGATAACTCTACCCTTCATAATTTTTGAGTCATTGCCCTTTGTCATTTTTCAGACTTTATTTTTCACCTGAGTGGAGCATTACTCAAAGTCTTTGAGATGTCAACATGAAACTTCATAGGTGGATAGATCTTATTGAGGACGAATGCTGTGCACAAGAATGATAACTCTACCCTTTATAATTTTTGAGTTATTGCCCTTTGTTATTTTTCATATAGTGGTATAAACTTGAAACTTCATAGGTGGATAGATCTCATAGAGGATGAGTGCAGCACACAAGAATGATAACTCTACCTGCATAATTTTGGAGTTATTGCCCTTTGTTATTTTCAGCCATCAGTATTCACATAGGTTTCAAATCTGTAATCACTTCACCCATCAGTTTTCATTACCAAAAGACCTCTTTAAATTGAATTATTTTGCTCTACTACATATACATTCTTACAATGAGCAAACACATTTGGCGGGGGATGGCCATGCTAACATGGCTCTTGTTAAGAAAATATTTTTCCTGCGACCATTTTCATCACAGTTATGGCCCTTTGATAAGTTCAGTAATAAAATCTTGTGGCATCAGCTCTTCATTAACTCCCTGACCGATTTCTTTTAAACTTATACAGAGGATCAAGCAGGATTTATAGATGATTGTAAAGAAAATTTTTTTTTTCCTGCTGCCATTTTTACCAGACTTATGGCCTTTTGTTATTGCCACTCATAACATTTTTATGCCATAACATTTTGTGGCATCAACTTCACATTTTCTACTTGGCTGATTTCTAATAAACTTGCACAGATGACTAGACATTATGTGTACATTGTTGTAAAGGATTTTTTCTTGCAAGCATTTTCTCCAGAGTCAATACCTTTTCTTTATGTTATTGTATAGCACTTACTCCTCATGTACTAGTCATGATCACCACTTGTTCTTAATATCTGATGCAAAGGTTTGTTACAGCAGTGGGAGCATCAGTGTCCTGAGGACACAGTCTAGTTTTAAATAATTTTTTGGGAACCATCTTTCGTTCTTTCGTTTAAACTTTATTGAATATAAATTAGAATTTGAATAGTTTTCTTGAAACGACATCAGCAATTGTATCTTTTTACGTTGCACTGTGTAAATTCGAGTTTTATTATTGAACTACAAATTTCGTTAGCACTTAATCCGGATATTGTCATTTTGTTTCAATTGTTTGTTTGTTTCCAAACTGTAATGATAATGTGATTTTGAAACAGAAGCTATATGACACTATTAACATCATTTTCAATAACTTCTCTGCATAATTTTATTGGACAATTTAACAGTATAACATAATGTTTTACTTTTAAAAACTTATTTTTTAACCTTATATTTTCGGTATTATCTGTAGATCTAATTGATAAATATCATCGTTTACCTATATGTTTAAAATATTTTGATTTTATAGCACATATGCATGTTTTATAGCTTTTAACCTTTATGGGCAAGTAATTTCTTATTTTAACTAATGTCTATTCGAGTGTCTTCAAGAAATGAATGACAGTTGTCTAATGCTAGTTATATCAGAATTAGGGATATCTTTGTTTCTAATAAATACATTTAGTTTATGTGTCTCTCTCATATGTTGTAATCATGCATACAATAGTTTCATTCAAGGTATATTAATCTATATGCATGGCAAATTTGATCAAGTTATCTTGATTTGACTGTATTATTGCTTTCTTGTTTAAATTATGTTGTTGTTTTTTTCTCGAAAATCTAAAATCATTTTAAGGCCCACACCTAAGAACAACAAAGAATTACCATAGCATGAAACGCTAAGTTACTTTCAGTATATAAATGGACAATTTGCAATATGTTTGACAAAATTTATTCAACAATTGTCATTCATTTTTAGCTCGACTATTCGATAAGAATAAGTAGAGCTATTGTAGTACCCCGAGCGTCGGCGTCGGCGTAACCACTTATGTTAAAGTTTTTGTAATAGTTTAAATATTTTCAAAGTCCATTGACATATAGCTTTGAAACTTTGCACACTTGTTCACCATCATTACCCCAACCTGTAAACAGGAGGAGGTAATTGTATCAAGCATTTTGACAGAATTATGCCCCTTTTTGACTTAGAATTTACGTTAAAGTTTTTGTAATTGTTCAAATATTTTTAAAGTCCATTGACATATGGCTTTGAAACTTTGCACACTTGTTCACCATCATTACCCCAACCTGTAAACAGGAGGAGGTAACTGTATCAAGCATTTTGACAGAATTATGCCCCTTTTTGGACTTAGAATTTACGTTAAAGTTTTTGTAATAGTTCAAATATTTTCAAAGTCAATTGACCTATGGCTTTGAAACTTTGCACACTTGTTCACCATCATTACCCCAACCCGTAAACAGGAGGAGGTAACTGTATCAATCATTTTTACAGAATTATGCCCCTTTTTTCGACTTAGAATTTATGTTAAAGTTTTTGTAATACCTCAAATATTTTCAAAGTCCATTGACATATGGCTTTGAAACTTTGCACACTTGTTCACCATCATTACCCCAACCTGTAAACAGAAGGAGGTAACTGTATCAAGCATTTTGACAGAATTATTCCCCTTTTTGGACTTAGAATTTATGTTAAAGTTTTTGTAATACCTCAAATATTTTCAAAGTCCATTGACATATGGCTTTGAAACTTTGCACACTTGTTCAACATCGTTACCCCAACCTGTAAACAGGAGGAGGTAACTGTATCAAGCATTTTTTTTTACAATCAAGCACTAAGAATAGTCGAGCGTTGCTGTCCTACCGACAGCTCTTGTTATATTTTTGAAAATTATCTAACGTTTTATCATGTATTGATTTTCATGTTTGTTCATTCGTTTGAACTAATGTATTATGCACATCCACGATACATAAACTTTGTTGGCTTGTGTATGTATTCAGAAATATTTTTATGTTGCATGTTGTCAGTAAGAATGCATAAGCTCGTGAAAAATTTCGAAATTTTCGAAAGGTTTATTCATTGATTCTCCACTAAACGTGCAAATTAGAAAATATTCTGTCCCTCGAGTATATTTTGTTGCACTGCAGTTGAAAAATACTTTTTGGACATTCTTTTGCTTCATTACATGGTCATGTATGTAAAGCATTCAAATTAATGACTTAGTCTGTTGGATTTATACGAAAATATTATCATGCAGAGCTGCTGTATAACCCATTATGTAATGTCCCCAGGCTTGGTGCCTATATTACTGTTGGTTTTACACAATTTCACCTGAAACCTGTGTTGAAAAAAACCCTCTTAAGTATTAAGTTTTAGTTTAAATGTCTAAGTGAGCAATTTTTATTGTTTTCTACAGTGAATTTGGAAAAAAGTTCCTAACTGAAATGCATGTCCCTCATATATTGAACAGATACGTTACCACACTTCAGGTAAACCTGAGTAAGAGTAATATGAACTTGTAACCTATTAATAGTTTGCTATTGAACTAAAGTTTTATCATATTTCATTATTCAAAAATTATTTTGACTACAATATACATGCTTGAACCACAATGACCTCGCAATGCTGATACAATTAAGATTATACTTTAAAGTGAAACAGATACGTTACCATGATATCCAACTGAGAAACACTTGCTATTATCAGCACTTGAAAGTAGGATGGCATTTATGCATTATACCAATATATGCTTTACAAAACTTAATATTTTGATATATTTGGCAAACATATGTGTCTATCTGATATATTTTAGTTTTTTGACCAACAGATACGTTACCAACAGATACGTTACCATTATTTATTATTTAAATCTTAATTGACGATTTTGCTCAGATTTGAAATGGTTTCATGTAAAAGAATCATAGCAGAACATGCGTGTAGCCGATAAATGATGCTTTGACCTCGATTTTATTGGAAAACTGAAAATGTGAATCAGCAATTTGAAATTCAAGGATTATTTGAGTTTTCTAGAAAATAAAATGTTGAAAAACAGGAAAGAAACATATAAAGATTAACTGTTTTATTTCCTGGAATAAATATATGTTGATATCTTTTTGGTTTGCAAACTTTGTATTAAAAATAAAATGTAGATGACTGTATAACTTATGGTAACGTATCTGTTTATCATAGTAACGTATCTGTTTACAAAGAGATTTGAGTACTGTTTAATATATATAACTAAATTCTCAACAAAACTTTGGTTTAAATAAGTAATATATGGTTAGGCAATATATAACAGCAGTGTAACTTAATGAAAAAAAAACATATTAAAGTATTTTAAATGGATGCCAGTTAGTTAGTTAATTTTAGTCAGGGTCGTATTAAAATTTTCTGTCTATGGTAGGGATGGACTTATTGGATATAGCTCAAAATCTTGGAGGTGCACATATATATGGATTGAATATTACTAAGTTGGTTTTCTTTAAGCGGTACCATTGTTTCTGATATAACTTTGTTAAATGTAGATAAGCATATTACTCATATCACCAAGTGTGACAAAATAAAGGATCGAGATTGTACCAGTATATAAAGAAAAAGTATATAGAAAAAAATAAAGATAATTGAACCACAGATGAACCAAAAAGGCAAACCAAATACAGAATGTCAATTCATACTATGAACCACTCACATTAATCTAGCTGTTACATATTCTAATAGATGAGTGTCTTTATTTAAATGTTCTTGTTAAGTTCAATATGTTTCTTATGTTATTTGACTATTTGAAGCCAAACATAAAACAATGAAACCTAAAAAAACTGTAAATGATATTGTGTGTTCTGTTTAATATTAAAAGTACTTGTTCAGACATATTATTTATTGGTCAGTTGTTTAAAAAAACTTTATGAATATCTATCTACGTGTTCTGAGGGTTTTTTCGTAATTTTGTTCATAGTAGAACGGTGAAACAGATACGTTACTATGATTTAATATTCGTTTCCACTTAGTGGAATGAATTTATATTGTAAAGTAAGTCCGAGCTACATTGTGTCAATAGAGAAGTATGGATCATCAGTATTTTTATTGGCCTAAAATGGTTTTATAAGTACATCATGTATTTGAATAACCATTTCTGATTAATAAGTAACATTTTCATCAGCTTCAGTTCACAAGCTATTCATAGACGTAGATTTTTTTAAAATGCATATTGATGCATAATATTTTGTAATATATACTGGTGCTATATTGTTGAAAGAATGATTATAAATTTCTAAATCGTGTATATTCATGCTAATTATTTTTATCTAGTCTCTGAAAGCAATCGGAAAAATGGTAACGTATCTGTTTTTTGCACACACCTCAGTTCTTGGTAACTTAATTTCAGGAAATATTACAAGTTTTTTGATGAAGTGTTAAAAGAACCAGTATGTGTTCAATGTTATACATGAGTTAAACCAACAAAAAAAGATGTCTTGGTAACTATTTGCAAATGTCAATTATTCACTATCACTTACAGCCTAATTTGAATGTTTAGTGGAGAATCAATGTATTAACCACAAATACTGTTCCTTGACATTTCTTAATATTTTTTGAAAAATAACTTTTGCATAATATTTGAGATTGTTATAAGTATAGGTTATTGTTTATGCGCAGCATAAGTTCTATCAAATTGAAAATATAATACGATAACAAACTCGCATTTTCTTGTATTTTCTTGTCAACGCCCGTATTGAAAAAATGAAAATCAGAATTTTGATCACAGAGAAGCAACTGTTGCCATCAGCGCAGAAACTTTTTTTTAATAAAAAGACGACAAAAACTCTTATGGTTGATATTTTATTTTTTAACCCTTAATGACGTTTTCGGGAGTTTTCATATAGGCATATAGGCAAAATTAAAAACTGTTCAATAGAATTTCTTTAAACTTGGCATGTTGTTAAAATATGAAAACAGAAACATTTTAAGCAAAAAAGAATTTGGGGTCACCGTTCTCGTTTTTGAGTTATATCAATAGGCGCCAACAAGAGCCGGTTGATCAGGTTCCACCAATGTTCGGTGCCTGGACACTAGAATCATACTCAGTGGTTGGGCAGTAAACAGTGTAGATTCTTGGCAGACGGCGCGAATGCGCACCGACTGATGTGGATCTACGATGTTTCGCAAAGGCTGAGTATACTCGGTCAAAGCACTTAAATTAAGTGTAAATGTCCGTAGGGTTTGTTTTCAGCCTGCCGGGGGATTTGGAAGTTTAAAAATGTCTAGAAATTTTGGCTGTTTTAAAAAAAAATGCCAGTTCCATAAACCATCCCTGGGTTGGTGAAACCATGCGTTTAAATTTTAAATACGGAATTATTTGACAGGAGTGACCCCATTTTTTTAAAAAATGTCAGATAAAATCTCTGGGCCCCTGGACTGAGAGTCCGGAATAATTTAACAAGTTCGCCAGAAAAGGCTGAGTTACAAAGGTTTCTGGGGTTTAAATCCTTTTTGTAAGTTTCCATAAACTGTGCCTGTTTCTTTCCAATGATTGATAAAAAAAACGCCCCCAACTTCAAGTTAATGAAAAATTTTATGAACACGCCAGCCCTCCCACTTCAACACTTCTTAAAATGTATCATGAAGAGGTTTTTCATATTGTCAACACTTCTAAGAAAAAATATATTCATCCAGGTTTTTCCATTGTTGAATACAATTAAGTATTAAAGTTTAGCCCGCTGGCCCGCAGGCCCGCCCAGTTCACACTGCTAGTCCGCTACACTGTTAGCCTGCCCACTTCACACTGCCAGGTAATGTATCATAACATTTTTATGTTCAATAAATAAAGTTTTAGATTTTAGCCCGCTGGCCCGCCAGCCCGCCCAGTTCACACTGCTAGCCCGCTACACTGTTAGCCCGCCCAGTTCACACTGCCAGGTAATGTATCATAACATTTTTATGTTGAATCAATAAAGTTTTAGATTTTAGCCCGCTGGCCCGCCAGCCCGCCCAGTTCACACTGCTAGCCCGCTACACTGTCAGCCCGTCCAATTCACACTGCTAGGAAATGTATCATGAGGTTTTAATGTTGAATCAATAAAGTTTTAGATTTTAGCCCGCTGGCCCGCCAGCCTGCCCAGTTCACACTGCTAGCCCGCTACACTGTTAGCCCGCCCAGTTCACACTGCCAGGTAATGTATCATAACATTTTTATGTTGAATCAATAAAGTTTTAGATTTTAGCCCGCTGGCCCGCCAGCCCGCTCAGTTCACACTGCTAGCCGCTACACTGTTAGCCCGCCCAGTTCACACTGCCAGGTAATGTATCATAACATTTTTATGTTGAATCAATAAAGTTTTAGATTTTAGCCCGCTGGCCCGCCAGCCCGCCCAGTTCACACTGCTAGCCCGCTACACTGCTAGCCCGCCAACTTCACACTGCCAGGTAATGTATCATAACGTTTTTATGTTCAATCAATAAAGTTTTAGATTTTAGCCCGCTGGCCCGCCAGCCCGCCCAGTTCACACTGCTAGCCCGCTACACTGTTAGCCCGCCCACTTCACACTGCCAGGTAATGTATCATAACATTTTTATGTTGAATCAATAAAGTTTTAGATTTTAGCCCGCTGGCCCGCCAGCCCGCCCAGTTCACACTGCTAGCCCGCTACACTGTTAGCCCGCCAGTTCACACTGCCAGGTAATGTATCATAACATTTTTATGTTGAATCAATAAAGTTTTAAATTTTAGCCCGCTGGCCCGCCAGCCCGCCCAGTTCACACTGCTAGCCCGCTACACTGTTCAGCCCGTCCAATTCACACTGCTAGGAAATGTATCATGACATTTTTAATGTTCAATCAATAAAGTTTTAGATTTTAGCCCGCTGGCCCGCCAGCCCGCCCAGTTCACACTGCTAGCCCGCTACACTGTTAGCCCGTCCAATTCACACTGCCTAGGAAATGTATCATGAGGTTTTTATGTTCAATCAATAAAGTTTTAGATTTTAGCCCGCTGGCCCGCCAGCCCGCCAGTTCACACTGCTAGCCCGCTACACTGTTAGCCCGCCCACTTCACACTGCCAGGTAATGTATCATAACATTTTTATGTTCAATCAATAAAGTTTTAGATTTTAGCCCGCTGGCCCGCCAGCCCGCCCAGTTCACACTGCTAGCCCGCTACACTGTTAGCCCGCCCACTTCACACTGCCAGGTAATGTATCATAACATTTTTATGTTGAATCAATAAAGTTTTAGATTTTAGCCCGCTGGCCCGCCAGCCCGCCCAGTTCACACTGCTAGCCCGCTACACTGTCAGCCCGTCCAATTCACACTGCTAGGAAATGTATCATGAGGTTTTTAATGTTGAATCAATAAAGTTTTAGATTTTAGCCCGCTGGCCCGCCAGCCCGCCCAGTTCACACTGCTAGCCCGCTACACTGTTAGCCCGCCCAGTTCACACTGCCAGGTAATGTATCATAACATTTTTATGTTGAATCAATAAAGTTTTAGATTTTAGCCCGCTGGCCCGCCAGCCCGCCCAGTTCACACTGCTAGCCCGCTACACTGTCAGCCCGTCCAATTCACACTGCTAGGAAATGTATCATGAGGTTTTAATGTTCAATCAATAAAGTTTTAGATTTTAGCCCGCTGGCCCGCCAGCCCGCCCAGTTCACACTGCTAGCCCGCTACACTGTTAGCCCGCCCAGTTCACACTGCCAGGTAATGTATCATAACATTTTTTATGTTGAATCAATAAAGTTTTAGATTTTAGCCCGCTGGCCCGCCAGCCCGCCCAGTTCACACTGCTAGCCCGCTACACTGCTAGCCCGCCCACTTCACACTGCCAGGTAATGTATCATAACATTTTTATGTTCATTAATAAAGTTTTAGATTTTAGCCCGCTGGCCCGCCAGCCCGCCCAGTTCACACTGCTAGCCCGCTACACTGTTAGCCCGCCCAGTTCACACTGCCAGGTAATGTATCATAACATTTTTATGTTGAATCAATAAAGTTTTAGATTTTTAGCCGCGCCGCTGGCCCGCCAGCCCGCCCAGTTCACACTGCTAGCCCGCTACACTGCTAGCCCGCCCACTTCACACTGCCAGGTAATGTATCATAACATTTTTATGTTCATTAATAAAGTTTTAGATTTTAGCCCGCTGGCCCGCCAGCCCGCCCAGTTCACACTGCTAGCCCGCTACACTGTTAGCCCGCCCACTTCACACTGCCAGGTAATGTATCATAACATTTTTATGTTGAATCAATAAAGTTTTAGATTTTAGCCCGCTGGCCCGCCAGCCCGCCAGTTCACACTGCTAGCCCGCTACACTGTCAGCCCGTCCAATTCACACTGCTAGGAAATGTATCATGAGGTTTTAATGTTGAATCAATAAAGTTTTAGATTTTAGCCCGCTGGCCCGCCAGCCCGCCCAGTTCACACTGCTAGCCCGCTACACTGTTAGCCCGCCCAGTTCACACTGCCAGGTAATGTATCATAACATTTTTATGTTGAATCAATAAAGTTTTAGATTTTAGCCCGCTGGCCCGCCAGCCCGCCCAGTTCACACTGCTAGCCCGCTACACTGTCAGCCCGTCTAATTCACACTGCTAGGAAATGTATCATGAGGTTTTAATGTTGAATCAATAAAGTTTTAGATTTTAGCCCGCTGGCCCGCCAGCCCGCTCAGTTCACACTGTTAGCCCGCTAGACTGCTAGCCCGCCCAGTTCACACTGTTAGCCCACTAGACTGCTAGCCCGCCCAGTTCACACTGTTTATCCCGCTAGACTGCTAGCCCGCCCAGTTCACACTGTTAGCCCGCTAGACTGCTAGCCCGCCCAGTTCACACTGTTAGCCCGCTAGACTGCTAGCCCGCCCAGTTCACACTGTTAGCCCGCTAGACTGCTAGCCCGCTCAGTTCACACTGTTAGCCCGCCAGACTGTCAGCCCGTTAGCCCGCGTACTTCACGGACATGCAATTTCCAGAGTGTTTTAATACACTGATCCAAACATAGAAGAAAAATATGAACCCATTTAAAAAAAGAATCAACCTAAATTATTGATGTCTATATAGGTAAAACGTTTGTTTGCTGTTGTTTTTTTTTGTTGTTGTTTTTTTTTGTTTGTTTTGTTTTTGTTTTTTTTTGACGATAAAATAAACGCAATAATAATAAAATTCATACGAGTCATTTATTCTTAAATGTATCTGCAATGGTTCAATAAAAATACCATTTTTAAAAAAAAATTTAACCAGAGAATCTTGCAATTCTTCTGACCCGGGGTAATTCACAATTTACTTGAATTAGTCTACAGTCAAGATGAAAACTTCACAGTTTCTGCTCATACAAATCAGCTTAAAAATCAATTCTACATATGCCGCTTACATTGCTCTTTGCTGACTTACTGACCTGAAAAATTGAGATACTGCATCAAATTGAAACCAGACAGCTTTACGAGTATTTTACTTCGTTTCTGAACAAGATTCACTTGCTTTCAAGTAATATGTACAGCAGTTATTGCTGACACTTGTTGTTTCTTTGAA